TTATTAATTAAAATAACAAAGTTTGAATTCGAATTCAAAAATGAAAAATAAAATCTTACTATACTAATTAAGGTAAAGATATTGATTGTCAATAAACATATAAGTGATTATTGAAAAAGGATGGTATATGTAATTAATAGATTGAAATATGTTCTATTAATCCTTATCTTCAAATTGTTATATTCTTTATGTCCTAGGATGTCCAAAAAAAAAATTGAAAGAGGAATAGAAACAGACAGCACCAGTATTTGAAAAGCCATGATTCTGAGAATAAATACTTAAATACTTTTGATACCATACGTAATATTCCGACACTACTTCTCTCTTTTCTTTTGTCTTGATGTCATCTGATATTCTATTGTCCGCTTGAAAGTACAGTATCAAGACATGAAAACACGAAACTTGATCTTGCCTTTCTTGTATGTGTGAAGTTACATAGCTTAGATGCGTCATACGGGCTGCTGAATTACGCATCAAGTTTGTACTGTATATAAAGTATAAAAGAATAGGAGGTGGAAGGACAGGGGAATTACATATAAACACATGATAGTTACATCAGTTCACCAAATATTGTTATTGAAGTGCATGATGATTATATTTCCAATTCATAGAGAGAAATGATATAGTTGCATTGTGCTCAACCTTGTTACCTTACTGAATACTCCTGAACTTCTTACTCCCGCTTCATGTTATTTATATGTTTTAGAATAAGGGGGAGGATCATTCTGCTATGTTTTAGTGTGTGGAGTTTTCACGGGATGCATTCTTTAGAATTTATATACAGGCTTAACTGTTAGGTATAATGGTGGAAATTCAAGCGAAAATTATTGAAATTGGGTATACCGTTATAGCCTTCCTGGTTATGATAGCTCCCCCTCAGTTCAACACATCTGAAGTGCTTCTCAATGCGCATGAGTCGCCAGTTTTCCACAAGACATTGCTAAACTAAATGCATTTGTAAATATTTCTGAGGATTGAACTTCTATGTTTAGTATAGGAGTCACACATTGTGACTCGTGAGCTCCTAAACTTTCCCTTGCTGTTTTTGTCACATGCAATAATGGCATGTTGATGGACCTGTAGCTTTCAGGCCCCGAATGGTAAAGGGTTATGGCAAGAGATTAAAGACAAAAGGAGTACAAGGAGCTGTGGTTGCATTTTTGGTTAGCATGGGGGCCAAAGGAAGAAAGAAGGAATTGAGTGATGTAAGGGGGTGAACTGAAAAGAAAAAAAGAAGGGGGGGGGTTGGGGAAAGAGGTCTAGAAAGGGGGGTTTGAGGTCTAGAGGGGTTAAGGAAGAATTTAGCTGATGTGTGAAAAGAGAGGTCCTAGCTTATCAAAAGCTCGGGGAGTGTTTTATTTCCTTTCTAGCTTCCCTAATTTTGCTTAAGTCGTGGGTCCAAATTCTCATTTATTCCTTTGAATGTGATAGGATTGTATCTTATATTATATCAAGTCAGTAGAAGAAGAGCATTTAAGTGTCTTTTTTTTTTTGGCTTTCGCACCTAGTATCCTAGTCAACAACCCCACAAGAAATTACAAACCAAATTAATCCAAATTGAGACATGGTAAGAACCATTAAGGTTAGCACCCCTAGTCCTCAGGGTGCTACGTGCCCAAGGGTTGGTTGAGTTGGACCTACCCCAGCCGATCCAACCCTGCGGGTTAGTGTTTAACTGTCATTCTAGTTCCACCATATGTACTACAAAGGGGGGGGGGGGGAAGGCTTTACTTGAAGCTAAGTACTAGATAAAAGGGATTACCATTACATGCATTCTTTCAAATTTCAAGGTTCAGGAGAGGTGAGTCTTTGGTAGTTGCTTTACACTGGTTGATTGATGGCAAGAATGCGATTGCTTGTTAATTTTCCTAGCACAACGGAACCTGGAATTTCTGTTTCATCTATGACGTTGTCTCATTGGATGACTACAATAACAGGTGCAGGGACAAACGCTTTAGATGAAATTCTCAAAGCTACACCACCTGCTTTAACAGCATTTTTATCAAATCTTCCCAATGTTGAGGGTAATTTTCTAAACTCCGTGACTTGTGATATAAATTCAGCAGTTACTCAATAATGTTCCTTTGTTTTGTAAACAACTGGCTTAAAAACAAAGCCGAAATGAATTTTGGTTTTGTTGGTGAATGACCCTATTTTGTTTGGTTCTCTTTTCTCTTCCTCTTCTTTTCTTTGGCAATTGTTTGTTTTATCCCCCCCCCCCCTACTGTCTTCTTCTCTACAATTATTGTGCCAAGCTTGAAGAAGGCAACCATATTTGTGATTATTCGTGACCACAAAAACCTGAAAGTCCACAATTTTTGTTGCCTATGATATTTGGAAGACTTTTGGATTCCTGAGAAATTTGATGGATCAGGGAATTGTTGAATTCAAAACAAACTTTTTTATTTACTGGACTACTAGGACCAAACTTCTTGTTTGACCGTGTTCACGTGGATTATCTTGATCGCCATGTACTGAAATGTGTTATTAAAATGACAGGTCCAACACCGAATGTCGATATTGTGTTATCAATTTGCTTGCAGAGTGACTTACCAACAGCACAAAGTGGGAAGATAGGGACGCCAGCACAATTGCCAACAGGTCCCGCACGTTCTACAAGTGAAATTTCTGGTTCAAGCAAGTCACACCACATGCCAAGTGCCTCATCTTTTAAACCAACTGGCAGAAGACAACATGGAAAGAGGAAGGAATTAGACAGTATGTGTATCATCCACGCTGACCAAACTTATTGCCATTTTTTCATGCAGTTTTACTCTAGAATATTCTGCATAAATCTCATCCTTGATGCCTCTTAAGGTATTTCCGCCATATAAAATCATATTTTGGGGTGGTCAAATATTTAACTGGAGGGCCAATTCAGTCATGTTCGTTATTGAGGAAGGAACTTCTATATCTACCGCTTTGCTTTACTGGCAAGTATGTACTCCTCCGGTCTTTAATATATGACTTAATTGTTAAGTTAATTTTGGTTTCAAATATAAGATATATTTCTCATATTTATCAAGTAAATGGGGGAGGAAGGATATTAAGAAAGATAATTATGGTGTTTTAGAAACAAACATGTCATATTTTCTATAATTAGCTAACTTACCTAACTTTCTTAATCTAATCAAATTAAATAGGTCTTTTATTAAGACCGGAGGAGTATTATTTTTACTTCACATTCTATTTCAAAGCAGAGTTGGCATTTTAGTTGTCAAATCTTGTTATTTACGACTCATCAATTTTTAATTATTAGGTAACGGAGATTCCCAAAATGGAATATCATTTACTTTACTATGGCTTATGATTTAATTTATACTTGAACGGTCTCTTTATATGAGGATTTGCATTGGGTGCTCATCAAAACTGATGAGCACCCAATGCTCATTAGATCTGGACCGTCCAGATCTGATGTGGACGGTCCAGATTTAATTTTAATTTTTTAAAAAAATATTTTTTTTCTATTTTTAAATAATTATTTAAAAATATTAAATCTAGACTGTCCGGATTAGATCGGGACGGTCTAGATTGCTTATCAGGTGATGAGCACTGAATGCGGACGCATTTATATGGAGCCGCATTTGCACTTGGAGATTCATTTCTGTCTGATGCGTTATGTGTATACTTATGTCCTCAATAATGGAGATTATTAATCGCTTTTTTTAATATGATCCTGCTCATTATCTGTGCAGCCTATACTTGGGTTTTCTTGTTTCTTTTACTTCAAAGGTTCATTTTCCCTTGATGAAGATTTTTAATAATATAAATTTCCAGGACAAGAGGATGATGATACTGCAACCGTCCAAAGCCAACCGCTTCCTCAAGATGCTTTTCGCATACGACAGTTTCATAAAGCTAGAGCCAGCAGCACTTCACAAACTGGATCAGTCTCGTACGGAAGTGCATTTTCTGGTGATTTGTCTGGTAGCACGGGCTGAAACTTCTTGAAAAGAAAGAAACTTATCCTGGAAAGAGAAGACAAGTGTTTTTAAATTGTCAATTGTCAGTTAATCAAAAAAGAAAAAAGAAATTACTAATTTTGGAGATCAAAGGTTTTGCTGCTTCCGTGTCAGGAGGAAAATTGTCGACATATGATATAAAGATCATCGCTATGTTTGGTTTATTTAAGAGTTAAGTGGGAGAGGAAGGAGGGGTTTTAATGTTCCCTCATTTGGTAAAGAAGAGGGTGAAGGGGGGAATGGTTGTACTCCTTTATATAAGTGGGGAAAAGCAAACTCATGCTTACTAAATTAAAAGTGGACATTCTCAACTGGGTTGTAAGTTGATCTTTTCCCCTAAAACGTTCTTGATATTATATATTTACTCCTGTTAAATGAAAAGTAAAATAGGAAGAATGTCTTTGATGCACGTTATAAATGGTAGTCCTTTTTTTTTAGTCATATGATATCAAGAAATCCTTTTAAAATTTGATTTTCAGGTTCTCTTATTTCCATTTAATCGATAACTTAAGCTGTTTACCCCCCATTTATATGAATGATTAATGACGTATACATAAGCTGTTTCTCTTCTCTTCTGTATGGAAATAATTGATATATACAATTGTAATATAAATAATTGAATTGTTCATGGTATTACGTTCTCTAGCTAATTTTAAAAGCGTGTGAAAAAAAAAAAAAGAAAGCGTGTATTATATATTCTTTTACAAAATATGCGAATATGAATCGGCTCACTCGCCAAGCTCACAGCGAGCAAACAGACGGGGCAAGAAAATCCGGGGGAACGAATCATATTGTCACGTTTCAAGACAGCGCTGAGTTGTTATTATCATAAATAGGAAATAAGCTTGTACAATATCAGTACGACTTTGTTGAGAAGCTAATCCCATTTGCCACCCTATTGCTTGCCAGATTCTAAACCCAGTTTGGAGCCGCTGTAAAATTGAATCCACGTAGATAGACTTCTACGTCAGTATCAAAATTTCTAAGATTTCTAATATCGTCCTCTTTCCTAGCTAGTTTTGGAATCCAGAATCATGCTTTCGAGCAAACACATGATATCATGAATTATATTATGAATACCATAATTCAAAGGAAATTTTTTTAATTGTACATTAATATTGGTTCTATTCTTCTCTGGTTTATCACATCTACACTGTTGAGCACAGAGGCCATTGATATAACATGCAACTAAGTTTAAACTCACCAATTAATTTCAATGATCTACAATCGATGGACGAGGTTTATTTTGTTTTTTCTTTTCAACTATTTTTTATCGATAACCATAGGCCACAAGATGTTCTGTGGCGGCCTTAATTTTGGGAAGCTTTACCCTTGGTGGTTCAGTGGCAGCATGAGAGCCTGGTGGATAGAACACAATGTACACTGAGGCATCATTACCAAGTTCTAGATCATACACACGTTGTCCTGCACCATATTCCCCTAGAAGTTGGTAAGATCTTTCTGATTGATCCATTGCCACACACATATCATCACCGCCTGCTCAAATTACACAAAACATCACATAACTTTTCATTAAACCTGAACATGTCAAAGCTTTTTAGAGTGAAGCGACTCACAAGCAGCTAGTTCTATCTGTGTCTGGTATATAAAATCCAGAACTGCAGAAATGTCTTTCTCAAACTCATGAAACGGCCCAGTTTGAAACTCCATCTTTCTCAGCTTACAAAGCCCCTCTCCCAACTGCATCATTGCTCCTCTGTGGTTCTAACCAGCCAATTCACGCACAATTCTCAAATCAAAACACAACCCAAATTCTTAAATGAAAGGAAAATGAAAAAAGAAATGGAATATCTCATGGGCAATGTCAAAAACCTGGTTGAAGAGGTGATGAAATCCTACAGCACATTGCAGAATACCATGAATCAGAGTTCTGGTAGGGTCTTCAGCTTCGTGCCATAGAACCTCGAGATAGTCATGGCACTTGTAGTAATCTCTGCCATTGAATAGAGCCACTGCTTCATCAAAGTTGTGATCTTCAGCGTCCTCCTCTTCATCATCTTCATCATCTTCATCTATGAAATACCTGTAAGAAACAAAAAAGAGCTTGGAGTTTCTGCTTCTGTGGTTCAGTCGCAGCCTAAATGGAGTCAGTGCGTTGAAAGATTTTGAAGAAAAAGAAATGGGGTTGTCAAGAGAAGGAAGAAGAAATGGAAGACAGCGTTGGGAGGAGTAGACATGGGAAATGGAGGGAAGAAGAGCCATAGATGATGATTGGGATGAGATCTTTCTTTGTCTGGGCCATATTTTCTTTTTTCTGTTTGTGTGGTGGTGGTGGAAATTCGTGGCAAGTAGGAAAGTCCCGTGCTTTTGCTCCTCCCTCTACACTACAAGATTTATTCTTGTACGACTCTTTCTCCGTTTGGTTAGATTTTATCATACATTATTCCATGATATTTCTTCGTACAAATTTGAAACAAAGGGTGAACTATAAAAGTTCATCATTTTGAACAAATGGGTATGTTCTGTCGGTTTTCGTACGGAACCGTTGGATAACTGTTCCGACAGTGCTTTCACTTCACTCACCCTTTATTTATTGGAAAAATGGCAATTAGGTCCCACTCAAAGAAATTAAATACAAAAATATCTTTTGAAATCATGAAATTATTTTAAAATCCTAAAAAAAATTTTGCATTAAATTTTATTTATTCACTTACCAAATTACCCTTCCTTTTTTTTTAAGTTTGCATTGACAACTGAAAGAGCAGTGATTGACAACTCAGGGTGTAAGGACTGACAACTATCGCGACTGGTTTGACAACTTATGGTGTAATATGCTGAGAAAATATATTGTCAAATTAGGTCGTATGCAGGAAGATATCTAAATTCAATTTTTTTCTTTTGGGGGGGGGGGGTAAAGCTTTAAATTCAAATTTGATGATTAAAAGAAACACATATTTCAGAACAGTTCCGATAATTTATCAATTTGTGCACTTTTTATGTACTTTAGTTTTTCTTTTTAAGAAATAGATGAATATACAACATTTATCATTTTTAAGGAAATGATACTCGTTCCCAATATCATGTTATATGCCATCAGAAAAGTGATAATACAATACAATATCTTATACAGTGAGCAAAAACATGATATAATAATATCTCATATAGCGTTACGTCAACAGCGGCATACTATTCAAGATTTAAAGCTTTATATCATGTCGGCGCATATCTAAGCAAATCTTATACCATTAGATCTTATATTTTACAGTGAGCCAGCAGCCCTGAAATTTAACACGTTAAAGTTAAAATCAAGCTGTAATTCAAAAATAAAACATATTTCCTTGGGGGTGTGTGTGTGTGAAGACATTTATCAAAAAGCAACTAAAATATTTCTCCCAAGACTAATAACCAATAAGGCAATGACTTCCTGTTACTTAGACATAATTATACATAAGAATTGTACAGGTCTTTAACTAAAAATTATGCCCAACAACTAGTTAGCTAAACCAATAAAATAAGAGCAACACTAGAATCATAAATTTATGCTTCACGTGGATAAAGGAGGAAAAATAAGCAAGAACTATTTCCCTGTATGATTTATGACAAAACGTTATTAGCCAGAACTATATGCATTCATTTTACGGGGGGTTTTAACAGACGCGCTCATCTGCTAAAGAACAGAAGCAAACATGCAATAAGCAACAAAGTCCGTTTCTAGTCAATGAACAACTACTGGGTACAGGAACCAATAACAGTACACTCTATTGATTTTTATGACAAAATAGTTGTTCTTAGCCCAAACCAGTATGGGACATTGGGACGTATATACATTTTACGAGGGGCATAACGGACTGGCTCATCTGCTCAAGAACAGGAGAAGCCTTATCATAAGCAACACATCACCTGTTTCTAGTCAATGAATAGTTGTAGTATAAACATTGACAATGAACAAATAAGTACAACATTTACTAGGTGAAAAAAAGACTTGCTTGATTAGATAGAAAAAAGAATGTAACCAAGTCTTTCTCCGGAGCATATGTCAGCCCACACTGATCAAGACCTATACATAAATTGTCTAGAGGCAGGCAATAAAGCAGTGCGCGTTACCCAGAATGTTAATGGTGACCCACCACCCACTTCTTCCCAAATCAATCCACCTCTGATGAGCTTGATTGCGTAAAACCATAAAGACAGTTACTTATGGTCTCTCCAGAGTTCAGACAGACCTTCTTCCCTAAATGTCAAATGGAATGGACCCTCACACACATTCCCATTGATTTCTGGCTCATATTTGATGTCAGATGGGACTTGTTTCTTTCCTAATAGCTTGAATCAACACCACCAAACCTGTCACGCGTAGTCACAGTAAGAGAAATAAAGGTTACTTTGAAAATAAGGAAAAGAAAGTAGAACTTGTAGATCTTAAGATAAGATGGAATCCATCAGGGATATACAAGAGATCAATCCAGGCACTTTTTAGATATCTCGATTGATTTGCAGTCATACTAGACTTATGAGGCATGCAATATGGAGCCAACATGCACTTCGCATTAAAGTGATGTTTCATAGCTTCACATGGCATATGCCCGACTCTTTCTGAGTGATGCTTCACACATTAAGATAAGCCAACACATGGAAGAGCCTAACATGTTTACCTTGTATCATGAGGAAATCCTGTATCTCTTTATATATCCTATTATCCTTTTCAAAAGCAAGCAGCATTAGCCTTTTTTTTTTTTTTAATCTGAATTGAAGAAACCGTACTTCATAGCGAGCAGGTGTCTGCTGCTTGAATGTTATATGTTGGGCATGGTGTCTGCTAACTAAAGCTACTGTAACGCACACAACTCACAAGGAGCTGCAATTTGTTACAATGATTGATCTCTTGACAGAGATTGCCGGTAACAAATGGTCATAAATGATGATGCAACCAAATTATGAATTGCCACATGGCATTGGTTATTCTATCATTCTATCCAGAAGGATATGTCATAATTTAGCTGGTATGCTGTATTTTAAATTCACTGACTTTTGTTGTTTACTCATAATGCATTAAGAAGACATATGTCTGAGGCCGATCATAAATTGGAAGTTTGTTTCGTAGAATGTGAAGGGAAAAGGACATGTGGGGGAAGAATAAGCAGTTTTTACTGCTTCATGATTGATGACAGGACAAGTTGGCACATTAGGATACATAGCCCTGCACTTCGTATATATCAGCATATGCAGAAGTAATTTCAGAGGATACAGCTCCACTAGTCAGTTTCATCTTCAGCTTTGCCAGTTACAAATGTATTATTAATTAATATCTCACGCAAGAGCAAGCAAAATGGAAAGAACAACAGTGATGAAGACCTTTCATGGGAACCTGATTCCTCCCAAGTCTCCTGCTCTGAGAGATAGAGATGCATCTTTCTCTTTTATCTGAGGCCCGATGAGGCAATTAGTTGCCAGCGACATCTCCCCGTTGGCCTTGGTGGATGTAGAGCCCTTGATGATTCTGAGCTCAGTATATTTGATGCCCACAAGTATTTCAACGAAGCAACCAACAATGACATGCAAAAGGTAAGCATTAGCAGCAACAGTAGAGTATCTCCACTGGTTAATTTGAATGTCGAACACAATCCGGAGCGGGGTGGTACTATTACGGAGCCCAGACGATACTCCTCTGCTTCATCTATTGAAGGTTATTCTAACATCAGGAACTACAGAGCACGTTCTTTCCATGCTGCAACTCCAACAGCCTCTTCAGAAGCCAGTTGGAATAGCCAAACTGGTTTGCTCTCTCATCCTCCAGGAGCTATTTCAGTCTCTATGAGGAACCCACCTCATCCCACTGATCCCAACAGGAAGCTCAGAGATTCATTGTGTAAACCCATGTGGTTTTTTCGAAGAAAATGTCCTTGCTCTGGTAAGAAATCCGTTGAGGTGAAGGAAAATAAATTAGAGAACAAAACCCAAATGGCACAAACACCACCAGCTCCACCACGTTTATCACACAGCCAAATCACCAGAGATTCTCTGAACCTCAAAAGGCAGGACCTAGATAGCCCCGATTTCAAGACGCCAATAGACAAGTTTACAATGAACATGGAGACGGTCACGGCAGCGGCTAATAATCCTGAAAACCAAAAGATTCCGATTCCCATCATACACAGCAGCAACTGGGTGGACCAGAGACCGTTAGACCAGGAAATGTTTGTCGCCCAGTCTCAAAGACACCAATCAGCTGGAACTCGAGTTCCTGCAATTTTGCAGCCTCCACGATTCCTCACCTCCGCCAGACCCTTCGCTGATGGCTTCACCTTCCCTGTATTGAAACCACAGTCAGAAAAGCCCACCACAGCATTACAGAACGTGAACGAGGTCGATGAAGATCCACGCCGGGAATCCTTGGAAATTTTCCGACCTCCCGACATCGAACTCGACTCTGTTCCACGAAAACCCAACGACAGAGGTCGCCAGAATTTCCCATTCCCCCCAAGCCCCAAGTCACGAATCATCGACGACGACGTAGCAAGCGACGCAAGCTCCGATCTATTCGAAATAGAGAGCTTCTCCACCCAGACCACATCGACATGCCCAATCATGTATCGGCGAAGAGACTCCCTCGACGACGTCACCACATTCGACGCAAAACGATTAGGCACCAACAACAACCACAGCTACCTGTTCGGCAGGCGAAGCATGGATTCAACAACACCCACAATAACCGAGTGCTACGAGCCAAGCGAGGCGAGCATCGACTGGAGCGTGACAACCGCAGAAGGGTTCGACAGAGCAAGCGCGGTCAACTTCTCAGCGAGCGCATCGGAGATAGCGGACGACGCGGGCATCGTGCATGGCGGTGGGGAGGTTCAGCCGGCAGAGAAGTGGAAACGGAAAGGATCATCGGGAAACGGGATGTCGTTGCTGAGCTGTAGGAGCCAGAAGGCAGTGAACGTAGGGCCACAGCCGGTGAGGGCGGTGGAGGCAGGAGAGGGACAGAGAGGGGCCACCAACAGTATAGCGTCGTCGAGGCAAGGGCATGTGAGTAGTGGGGTAGGCGCTGTAAATAACGCACCGCATGGAAGCTCCCACACAGCTCGCGTGTCTCTTCCCTACGCAACATAGCCATTTGATGGCCGGGGTCGTATTGCGATCTGCTTCTTGTCTGCAGTGAAATGCGTTGCGTTGTTATGGCTCTCCATTGCAGACATATCCGTTCCCTCCCCTTTGATCCCCCTCCCGGAATAAATGATCTTATTATCGTACGTATCCACCTTCTTGCCTGCTTCCTTTTCACATTTCAATAATTGTGTAATTCTCATTCCATTATTTCCTTATTTTTCTCGCACCTCATCAAAATTCAATTCGCTTATCTGGGTGCTTCGTTTACTTCATCGTCTTAAAAAATTCAGACTGCAATGTCACGATCCACTCACCTGAGTAGTTTTGAGGTGTTATGCTCTTACATCAGCTTTAATACTGCAGCCGAGTCACTTAGGAAGATGGATTTGCTCCAACTCAACTCACCTTGTTTTTTATGTTTATATTTTTTAATTAATTTATCTCATTTATAATTTATAGATCAACGTATAACTTAATAGTATTATAAAAATTATTATAGGATGGTTATGTCATGTTTGTGACAATTAAATAATTTATTTAACTTTTTAAATTTATCATAAGTAGATCTTATATTAAGAATATTATAAGTTAGAATATTCATAAATACAAGTCTCTAATAAGCAATGAAATAAAAGGCATTTAAAGCAAGGTTAATTAGAATCAGATTTTCTATAACTGATGAATAGTGGGGTTTTTGTATGATACACAAGATACTTAAAATAAATCATCTCAATTACGAGGTTAATTATTGAAAGAACTATTAAAAAGATATCAATATATGAATATAATCATAAAATGTCTCATAACAATTGAGCAAAATATCATGAATGATAAGAAATAACAACAAATCCATGTTATTCACCTATTATTGAAATTTTTATAATTAATTTTTATTATTTAAAAGAGTAAAATATATCAATCTCCTGTCTATTTAATATAAATTGCAGAGACCTTCTTTTATTTTAAAAACTTGTATAAACCTCATTTAAAATCAAAATATATGTTATACAAATATTTCTTCTGGTTTTAGGATTCAATTTTCGTCCATCCAGCTATTAATTGACTGTTAAATCATAGTGTTGACCTATTATTTTGACTAAAATACCCCATCTTCAAGCAAATATTACATAGTAGTTATAATTTAATATCTTTATTTGAAATTAAAAAATAATTTCAATACACATTTTAATATTTTTTGTTATACTATTAAATAGATTATCATATAATAAATTTAATTAATATTACAAATATAAAATTTTATTTTACAATAAATTTAAATGTTTAATCTTGTTTATTTATTTAAATTTATTTGTGATGTAATCTTTTAAATATATATGTTGGCTGAAAATGTTTTGTAATCACATATACGTATTTTTAATTAAATTATAAAGTTATATATTCATTTACTAAATTTAGAAAAAATATTAAATAGATCATTAATAAGTATTAATGTTAAAAGTTAGAAATTTAATATAGTGAAAGGTAAATTTTAATTAAAAAATATATCTGAAACTTTTTTTAAAATGTTTTTAAATAGTATTAATAATTTGAACTAAAATATATGTTTTTAAAATATAAGAGAAGTATATGTAATTAAAGCAAAACAAATGGACAGAGTATTTTTACTCTATTTAAAACCTTGTAATAATTCTTTTAAAGGTGCTGCGTGACTCCTTTTTTGAGATAAAATTATGGGGAAATTGCAATAAGGTTCTACTCAAAGGAATTAAATAATTTTTTTTTTGAAATCATAAAATCATTCTAAAATCTCAAGAAATTTTTTTACAATAAATTTTATTTGTTTAATTATCAAATTGTTTTTATTATGTTTTTAAAGTTTGCATTAACAATTGAAAGAACAGTCGTTAACAAATTAAGATGTAATGATTGATAACTATCGTGGCAGTTATTGACAACACATTTTCTCAACACATCACAAAATATAATTTATGAGTTATCAATACTTGCCGTAATAGTTGTCAATTCTTGCATCTTAAGCTGTCAACCATTTTTCTTTCAGTTGCCAGTGCAAACTTAAGAAAAAAATATATTTAGTAATTGAATAAATAAAATTTATTGTAATAATGTTTCTTTGAATTTCAGAATAATTTTATGATTTTAAAAGATTTTTTTTATTTAATTCTCTTGGACGAACCTAATTACAGTTTTCTCTAAAATTATTGTTCACACTTCACAGACACTAGATTCTATGCATAAACACCAGGAGTCTTTGTCACTCTTGTGTGGGTGGGGCGTGTTGCGTCAGTCGCTCCGTATAATCTATTCACAATCCAATCACAATCACTAATTGAGTTTTGGCATGCACCTGACATGAGAAGATAAGAAAAGTAAGTAGAACTTACGAACGTTAGCAGGACTTCATCTGAACGAATAAGGCCAACCAAATCTCATAAAAGATCCCATTTTTATTTGATTGGCCTCTGATGTTTGATTCAGTAAGATAAAATTCTTCTCACGTACTTATTTTATATATTATAAATTATTTTTAAAATTATAATTTAGTTTTATTCAAACACTCTTTTAATATCACTTGCTTTTTACACGAGGAGTGAGATTTAACTCTGCCAATCTCGCAAGATACCGGCTCTGTTTGGGTCAGCGTTTGCTGACCCAAAAGCAGCTTATATTATAATTTAAGCTGGGTTGATCATATAGCTCTGTTTGGAAGAGTTTAAAACCTATTGAGCTTATTTATTTTTCAACCTACTAAACGCTCAATGAAGATAAGCTCCACGCAGGAGCTTATTTGAGAAGAGCTTTTACCAAATGTGCGTGTCAGGTCCTTTCTTTTTCACCCGGAAGTCCTCCTTTCTTTTCCCAGACTCAAGTCCCACCCGCAAGTCCCACCAGCTTTCATTTTTTTTTATCGTGTTTTATTTTATACTCAAAATATTTTTTATGGTTTCTCTCAATTTTAATTCAGTCATTAAATTTCACTTCTTCGTTATATTATCTCACTTTTTTTTTATGTTTCAATTTATATTTAAAATATTTTTTATGATTTCTTTAAAATTTTAAAATTTAATTCACTCATTAAATTTGATTTCTTCATATTAAATTATTTTAATTTCATTATATTATGTGAAATCAATTTTTTTATGTTTCATTATTTATTAAAACTCATACCCATTTTGGTAATTTTTCAGCCAAACTTATTTTTACTTAACTATAATCCAAACAAGCTTTTACCAATCTCACTTTTACAAACTAACTTTTCTAAACTTCAATCCAAACACAATTCAACATATCCAATTTAACTTTTATCAACTTCACTTTTTTATAAACTACTTTTCCTATAAACTGCTTTTCCAATCGCTGATTCAAACGGGTCTCTCATCCTAATTGTAAAGGTTAAACCGGGGCTGTGGTACTGATACCCAACAATTAAAGCGCTGTACATACACACGCATATAAAGATTTAACTTGACTTGCTTTCTTTTTAAAAAACAAAACACCCACACACACACCATACCGAGATAAATCTGGACGCAGCTTTATGAGAGAAGATAAGAGATAAATGTGAACGAAGACAAAGCATGATGTTTAGGTGGGCACTATTGATGGACCCAGAATGTTGAAAGCATTGTGCTATTATGATACTTGACATAAAGACGACTGAGATTACACAATACGAGGGAAGTGCATCATAAGTCAGCATCTGAGAACAGATAGAAATCAAATCAATGACTCACATTTATTTGGTAATGAACATCATTATCGTCCCCAATTATGCACCACAGGCACAGCCAGAGTCCACACGTTGCAGCAGACAAACTACCATACAGAGTTTGGATTTTTTTTTTTTTTTTTACAGTGGAAAAGGCAAGCAAAAGCTTGAAAAGGGGAGTCTAAGCCTCCTACAAAAGACCCGAAGTCAGACACAAAGTTTTGTCTTCCAAAAACATCTCCCTGCATCCATCAGGAATCTCCCATCTCAGCACCATCCCCATTGATCCTCTATGTCCTTCTCGGGCCATGAAATCAGCGCACTTAATATGGGTCCGACTTGTGTGGTGAATTTGAACACTTTTCTCCTCGAAAGCCATGTCTCTTATCTTCGTTATGAGGTCTCTCTGTGAGTGTTCCCCGACATAATCTCTCATAAGTAAATTAACTGCTTCAATAGAATCTGTGAAAACCAAAACCTGTTCAGCTGAGAGGTTTCTTCCTAGCTGGAGCCCCGCATGTATTGCCTGTAGTTCTGCCTCCAGAGTTGAGCATATACCTAAATTCTTGTGGAAACCCACGATCCAGTCGGCATTTGAGTCTCTGATGACTCCACCGCACGCCGCTTGTTGATGCGTCCAAACCGATCCGTCCACATCAATTCGGATAGCATTTACTGGTGGTGGTGTCCAAATTTCCTCCCTGTATCCTGGTTTGCCGAATACTTTATGCTTAAATTCATTGTTGATGACCGCTTCCATCAGCATGTAGTAGCATTTGTGCAGCATTTCCTTCGATGATGATGTATGCCCTTCAAAAACAAACTTGCACCGTGTTGTCCAAAGTAGCCAGCAGGCTAAGCTGAAGACTCGCGTCCAAGGGTATTTGCTAACACTTCCTCTGCCTGGATTATGCGCAGCGTTCCATCTAAGCCAAACCTGCAAGGATCCAGTATAAAAACTAGAAAAATAGTTAGGATGAATAATAAGCTTCCAAAGATCTTTTGCTCTCTCACAATCTCTCAAAACGTGTATGACACTCTCCTCTCTGTGACACTCGAAAGGACAACCATTTACTTGAGTTAACCCTCTCTTGGCTCTCAAGGCATTTGTAACAATTCTCTCATGGGATACATGCCACATAAATGTTTTAACCCTCTCCGGTATCTGCCATTTCCAAAGTCCGCTCCAAATATTGTTGTTCGGGCATTCACTGTCCTGTCTAACAAAGAGATACGCTGCTTTGACCGTGAACATACCCTCCTTTCCGTTTCGCCAAGTAAAAACGTCCTCCCTCCCTCCAGTTGGAGGCGGTATTCTGCTCAAAATATGGATGACCCATTCTGGAAATATTGTTCTCCAGTACTCAACATTCCATCTTCCACAAGGTAGGAGATGATCACTCACTTTATCATAGCTGTTAATGCTCGTCTCCCCCTGAACGAAGTCAACTAAAGGCCGGTCTAGTGGGTGCCAGTACTCCCACCAGAAGCTAGTCTTATCCCCGTTGTTAATTTTCCTGCCCACACCTTTGAGGAATTTCTCCCAGACACGGCAAATGGATCTCCAGGTGTGAGATGCCTTTCTCTTCATTGTTACCAACGGCATCTCATTATTCCCACAGCAATATTTAGATTTTAAACACTTGACCCAAAGTTTTTCAGGCCTGGTCAGAAGTAACCAACAAAGTTTCATCACAAAAGCAACATTTTGACATTTGAGATCCTTAAATCCCAGGCCCCCAAATCTTTTTGGTCGCTTAATTGTCTCCCAGGCAATTAGGTGCACCTTCCTGAGTTCTTCATCTTGACTCCACAGAAAGCTTCTACTGAGTTTCTCAATTTCCTCCAAGATGCCAACTGGAAGAATTGAAGATTGCATCTGGTAGGTAGGAAGAGCAGCCATAACCGACTTAATGAGCACGGACCTTCCAGCAAAGGTTAGAAACCGCCCCTTCCATGAAGAGAGTTTCCTTTTCACTTTCTGCACTAGGGGAGCATACGTTGCTTTGGTGACTCTGGTATGAAATAGGGGCACTCCCAAATATTTACCCAGATCAGTAGTTACCGCCATACCCAAGGACTGACTTAGTTCTACTTTCCTGTTGAAGTGTATGGAATTGGAGCAGAACATCTTAGATTTTTCTAGATTTATTCTATGCCCGGACACTGAGCAAAAGGATCCCAACACTCGCCTAACTAGCTCCATCTGTTTTAGATTTGCTTCTGTAAAGAGTACCAGGTCATCCGCAAAAAAGAGATGTGACAGTGATGGCCCATCTTTCTTAAACCGAAGAGGCTTCCATTTCTTTGCCTCACACTCCTCTTTGATCTGATGTCCCAACCTTTCCATACAAAGGACAAATATGTACGGGCTAAGGGGATCTCCTTGTCGCACCCCACGCGTCGGAAAGAATTCATTGCTAGCCTCCCCATTCCATAGTACCCTCATCGAGGCTGAAGAAATAGCAGCCATAATAACATCAATGATATGCTGTGCAATTCCCAGGCATTGCAATGTGTGACGAATAAATTCCCAATCCAACCTATCATACGCCTTCTCCATATCAACTTTGATGGCTACATAGCCCTTCTTTTTTTTGTTTGTTCGTAACGTATGAATGGCTTCCTGAGCTAGGATTATATTATCACAGCTAGACCGGCCAGCAATAAAGCTACACTGCTCATCACTAATCAGCTTGTCCATGACCCTTCTAAAACGATTGGCAAGTAGCTTAGTAATAATCTTCAAGCTGACATTACAAAGTGAAATAGGTCGCAGCTCCTTAAGACAGGTGGGATGATCCGTTTTAGGGATAAGAACTATGTTTGTCTGGTTGATCTCTCCCATATGTTGTGGAGAACGAAACAGGTACTCCACCTTTTCACAGACTTGCTCCCCAATAATATCCCATTGGGATTGAAAGAAGTGAGGTTGCAAGCCATCCGGGCCTGGTGCTTTCAAGGCCCCCATTTCAAAAGCTGCATTTTTAATCTCCACACGATCTACACCCCTTGATAACCATGTTATTTCTGTTTCACTTAGGCTGGGAAACTTGGCGATCCAATTTGAGGGATTGGACGTATTTTCGTCTTTTGTATAGAGGTTTTTGTAGAATTCATATGCCATTTGCTTAAGCATGATAGAATCCTCAACCCAGTTTCCATTATCATCCCTCAGAGCATTCACACGTTGAGACCTCTTTTTGATGGTTGCCGATGCATGGAAAAACTTTGTATTTTTATCTCCCCATTGAAGCCACTTGCATCGGGATTTTTGAAACCAGTATAATTCTTCTTGTGCTGCTAGCTTGTGATATTCTTTCCATAGTTTGTCTTCTAGCCTCTTGAGTCCCGTGTGTGACCCTTGCCTTCTTTTTCTATCAATCCTATCGAGACGTTTTAGAACTTCGCGCTTCTTCTTACAGAAATTCCCCACACACGTCTCATTCCATTTTACCACGGCCTCTTGGAATGTTTCAATGCCCTCAGTCCAGGTCTTACCTTCCCATGAGGATTCTACCACTCTCTTGAAATCCTGTTCGAGCGCCCAGGCAGCTTGGTAGTGAAAACTTTTCTTCCTCGTTCTCTTTGAATCCTGCCGATCGGTGTTACAGACCAGCAGACGGTGGTCAGACTTGAAGCGAAGCTCATGATTGACTAGAGTATTGGGAAAGAGATTCAGCCACTGGCAGTTGCAAAAAACCCAGTCCAGCCTCTCTTTGAGATTGTTTCTCTCCCAAGTAAAACGATCTCCTCGTTTATCAGCTACCACTAATCCTATATCTGAAATGCACTCAGCAAATTGTTGCATCGACAGAACGTTTGGTCCACTACCCCCCTGTTTATCCATAGGAGATAGATATGCATTAAAGTCGCCCAAAACCAACCACGGCTCTGGAGATGCATTAGCCAAGGTTCTAAGAGAGTCCCATAACGCGGCTCTCCCCATGGTGGTTGTTTCTCCATACACCGCAGATAGAGAGAAAGAAACACCTGAACTTTTGTTAGTTATGCGACAGTGTAGAATCTGCGCATTTGAGTAACTGTAAATCACCGAGAAGTCATTTCCATTCCACAAAACCCATATTCCGCCAGCATATCCATTTGCTTCAACCCTCAACCAATGACTAAAACCCAGAACTCTAACTACTTTGTCAGCACGCTGTCCACTTATCCGTGGTTCCATTAGACATAAAATATCAATATGATATTTCTTGACCAGGTCTTTAATAATGATGGGGAAAGCACGACTACCGGCTCCCCTACAGTTCCATGAAGCTATGATCACTGCACTTACATTTAGCCCAGGAGTCCAGAGGGACTTACCGAGGATCTTCCACCTTGTGTACTTCATACTGGGTTTCGGCCACAACCGTTTCATACCCTGTCTCCTTTTCATCTGTCCCATTAGTCAAAAGCAGCGGGGAGTCTGGTGGTTCAGAATTTGGGTCATCCAGGCACATTGGGGACGTTTGTAGTCTTTGGGCTTGGGAGTTCGACTTCAGGGTGGGGTGTGTCAAGGAATCAGCGCTGTGGGGGTCTTTCTTAGAATCCACATTCCTCTCTGATTGGGCTTTGATTACCATTAGACCCAATTCCAGATTGTTTCCACTTACCACTGTGTGGTTTCGGCGTCCTTTCCCATGTCTTCCTCTGCTATCTGTATGGCCCATAATGCTCTCATCCGCCTCTTTCACGCTTTTTTTATCTCTGTCTGGCCCAAGGCTTTCCTTAAGCCCATTAATTATTTTAATATTTTCTTTACCTTTAACTTTGTATCCCACTTTTCCCCTCTGCCCGGCTATGCTTCTTCGATCACCCTTCATGTTTCTTGTCTGATAGGGTACTGTTGCCAGGTCCTTCCTATTCTCCACAATAGCCAGCTCCTTCCCGCTTATGTCAGATTGGCCAGTGGCCTTCTCTATGTTAGATCTCTGTATTTGTCTCTCCATCTCTGACTCTTCTACCTCCTCTAGTACATCAAAGCGTGTTCTAAACATTGTGTTTCGCTCTCCTTTCCCATCCTTTGACCTTCGGTCTGTGGTTCTCTGACCACTTCTCTGCTCCGCCGACCTTGGGCTTCAATTTTTCCTCGATTTGCTAAACACCATCCATTCCCCAAATTGCTCCAGCTTCTCCTCTGTTTTCCCCGGTGCCTTTTCTGGCGGTGTTGTGACTACCAGCTGTTCACGGTGGTTTTCTTGTCCGTTCATCGCACAGGCTTTCCATGGGCAGGCCTCCTTTTTATGCCCAAAACGTCCACACGCGAAACATATCACCCCAAGTCCTTCATACTCCACATTGAATACTTCTCCAGCCGCTATCACACGAGGTACTAATCGCTTTTGCAAGTCAAGTTCCACACAAATCCGAACGAACTTTCCTCTTTCCACCTTAGCAGTTGTGGACTGGAAATCCGCTAGCGTGTTTAAATCGACTTTGAGTGTACGACCTATTCTGTCACCCAGTCTTGACATGAACTTATTATTATAGCAATGCATCGGCACATCAGGGATTCTTACCCATGTTGCCACTCGTCGCAATGGGTTCTGGTGAGCCTTGAAATACGGTGACCACCTTTGAACCAGAACTGCGTGTTGCTTCACCGTCCATGGTCCCTCATAGAGCACTTTTCTATAATGCGCCCTCCATTGTTCCTGATCAGTAAACCTCACTAGGAAATAATTGTTTGGGAGGTCGATCAGTTCAAAACTTGCAAACCCCCATAATCTCCGAAAATGGTCTTTTAATGCATAAACATCGAAACGTCTTCCCAACACTGTTAGAACCAGTGCATAATTCCAGGGTCTGCACCAGTCGTTAAACTCCTCCTGGGTTATGGGTACAACCGGGTATACTTCCATTAGTTTCCGTATTTCCTCTGATTCCTCAGGCATCTTCCACATTAGATCATTTTCCTCTGGGAACAGTTCCTCATCTTCCATTGGAGAAGCTCCATTAGCCACTCCATTGAAACCCATCAATGAAGCTTTGTATGAAGGAAACGGTTTTTCCTTGTTCATGGAGCTCTCAGCCTCTTCCTTCTCAGCATGCTTCGGATTACTATCCTCTGCCTCTTTCTCTTCCATTCTGTCGTCCATAATGGCTTGTGGAATTTCTTCGACCTTTTTCTTCTTTTTCCGATCATTCTGATTGTCCGGCGGTGCACGGTCCGGTGGCGTTTTCCTCTGACCTTGGTCAGACATGATACTACGAAGAAGGTTGCACGTATCCCCTGGATTTTAAAACCAGAGCACGTAACAGACATGTTGTCGAAACCAATAATGGGCTGCAAATTTATGAGCGGCCGAAACCAGAAATGGCAAATGGGTCCATTGCCCAGTTTTGGATCTCATCGTTTGCAAAGTGAACGCAGGTAATATATCTCGAAAAAGAAAAGGGGAACAAAAAGGGAAAGATGTGTATAATCCTAGTATGTGAATATTGGGTGTAATTATTTTTTTTTACGTCGTTTTTTTCCTGAACAGACAAACGCAGGAATGAATGAAGAGCATGAGTCCAACCATCAGCGCCTTGCTAGAACAGATCGAAACGAATCTCGAATTTTTTCAATGCCTTGACGAATGATGGGGTTGATAATCAGAAGCGGTGAAGGATGATAAGAACGGCAGCCGTCTTGTGGGCTAATTGTCTTCCCTTTTCTGGGTTTTTTGGCGATGGTTGAAGCTCGTGGGCTAATGAAAGTGGCCCATTCGGCCCATGTTTTGCCCCCATATGTGGGCTCTATAGTCTATTGGGATGTAAGGGGATATATATACCGACCGATCTGATAACCAAATAACGTATTGAGATGACATGGAGCACGATAAATAGGGTGATGATGTTTAATACGTGGAAAATGATAGCCTTGTCACCCAATTGTAATTTGTCAGTAGTGTTTTTTTAATCGATGTCCCTCGTGGCCCAATCACAAAGTGGCAACACTTTGTTTATACTCCGCTGCTAATATAAAAGGTCATAATCCATTTTCCTTATTCAGCCATCCCACCACGCACGAAATAGGTGAATTTGGGCAATACATGGGACCACTAATCCATAGAGTTCGAGGTTAGGATGCTCAATTTATCGCGCTTTCTAGCGAATGGAGGATAAAGGGATCCTTGATCTTTAAGAGACCGGAAGTTGTGGAAGAAGCGGCTGGAGAATGTGGATAAAGGTGTTGTTGGCAACAGTTATATTAGCATTGGTTAATTCTGCTTCTGCCGGTGATACTCTTGACAGAGATGACTTCCCACCAGACTTCATCTTCGGCGCAGGAACCTCTGCTTATCAGGTTCTTCATCTTCCTTCTTCCTCCTGTTGTGATTCGCTGTGTGTGCTTTTCTGAGTTTGAATGGAATTCGGATGACATCGAAAGGTTGAAGGTGCAGCAGATGAAGATGGGAGAACGCCCAGTATACTTGACGTCTTAGCCCTCGACGGTGTAGTACAAATTATCATACTTACTATTCTCTAGCTTTTACCCCACTACACAATACACAGGATTTCATATATTCATGTTTTAATGTTTATTTACTGAGCTTCCATTGATACTATGCGTGCTATCACAATCTTGTGGACGAGGTTTCACAGAACGCTTTTTTTTCCGTGTAATTGGTATTTATTTAGTCTTCCTTGTAATCCCCAACGGGCAAACAAAAAGTTGTTGAATCTCCATTTAAATAAAATTTCCAGAGAACAAGACCCGGGGATATGGAGATAGAACATGCGACCAGTATCACAATTATAAGGTTCGTAAATGTGGCAAATGCAAAAATCACCTGTGGAATGATCAATTCTGATTCGTTTTATGATATGATTAACTGCATTATATAAACTTAAACTTTCTTCCTTTCTTCACTGAAGTCACACGCGCACGTATCTTCTTTGACTTGATTTGACTTGTTGCAGGAAGACGTGAGACTCATGGCTAACATGGGCTTAAATGCATACAGATTTTCCATATCGTGGTCAAGACTTATTCCAAGTTACGGCCTCATTAATCTGTTAACTCATAATACTGCTTCTTGTTTTGAATAATCTGATTCATCTTGTCCCATGAATTTCGCAGATGGAAAAGGAGCAGTCAATCCCAAGGGACTAGAATATTACAACAACCTTATCAATGAGCTCATAAGCCATGGTGATTACTTGTAAACACTATATTTTCAACCCCTAGCACAAGCTCTTCCGTATACACGTTTCAAGCTAGTTTCGAACTTCTTTAAGATTAAGAGAAAGTTTTCAACTGCATTTGTGGTATTAGTTTTTTTCATCATATTGTAGATATCCAGCCACATGTTACGTTGCATCATAGTGACCTGCCACAAGCACTGGAAGATGAGTACGGAGGATGGGTTAGTCGTAGAGTAGTGTAAGACAACTTACGCTGCCTGCCTTGCTAGTTATACAAAACGAATCACTTTCAGTTGTGAGAAACATATATATTATATGCATGCTGTTTTGCAGGAAAGACTTTGAAGCATATGCGAATGTGTGCTTCAATGAATTTGGTGATAGAGTTAAGCATTGGACCACGATGAATGAGGCAAATATATTTGTGCTCTGTGGTTATGATTTGGGAATGCTGCCGCCTCAGCGATGTTCATCTTCCATTATAGGCATAGCTAACTGCTCCAAGGGCAATTCTTCAACTGAGCCATATCTGGCAGCCCATAATATGTTGCTAGCACATGCATCAGCTACTGCATTGTATAGGAGAAAGTATCAGGTATCCTCTTGAAATTGCAAGAGTGAGTGACAAATGTTTAATTAGACCGCCATCCTAGTACTAATCGTTTTATATGAAATGCAGGAGCTACAACGTGGATTTATAGGGATTAATATCTTTACTATGGATTTTTCTCCTCTAACAAATACTACTGAAGATTTAAGCGCCACTCAAAGGGCTCAAGATTTCAATCTGGGTTGGTAAGTAGTAATTCATGATTGCTCTTCAATATGTCTATAGTAAATGTGTTAAGTCTGTTAATGGTATCGATGCGGTTGTGATGCTGCAGGTTTTTGAATCCCATAATGTTTGGTGAGTATCCCGAGACACTTAAAAGAAGTGCAGGCTGGAAGCTTCCTTCCTTCACTAAAGCTGAATCAAATATGGTGAAGGGTTCAATTGACTTCCTGGGAATTAATTTTTACTACACATGTCACGTGAAAAACTACCCCAGCAGCTTACCAATGGGGGACAGAGACATTCTGGCAGATTTGGCCTTCATATATTCATGTACGCTGTTCTAAGCTGTTTTTCTGCTTTACCAACGCAGCTTCAATTTTATCAAATCCTAACTATCCATGTCTTAAATTGTAATTAAATAAATGCAAGGTATCGAGACGACTACTTAATCTTATTTGTGCTTGTAACAGGTTTTGGGAATGCTACATTTGCCGTTGAGGTAAGCATTGAAATCAGGTTTCGTTCCTCTTGTTTTAATATTGGAGCTTAAGTTTTCCAACACTCACTGATTTTTTGGGTCAGATTCCAGTTAGACCCTGGGGATTGAAAAACTTGCTGGAATTATTGAGGAACTCTTATGGCAATTTTCCCATTTACATCCATGAAAATGGTTTGCTTCTTCCCCCGTCTCAGTCTATGTTTCCCTTAACAAAATTAACCGTCCTCCATTGTCAAGTAGGGCACAGTGGTGACTAAGTCTATAAACTTCACAGGTCAACAAACACTACGGGATTCTTCATTGGATGACTGGTCAAGGGTCATCTTCATGCATGAATACATTAAGAGTGTGCTTGATTCACTCAGGTAACATGATTTTCTTCTCCTCAACTTCACTTCCAGTTAAGGTGATATCTCAGGAGTATTGATGGGTTTTTCCTGTCCTTTTCTTTGTTCTTGACACATTGAAAGGAACGGAGTGAACGTGAGAGGCTATTTTGTATGGTCCCTTTTGGATTTGCTCGAGATAATAACGGGATATCAAACCAGTTATGGGCTATATTACATAGATCTGAACGATCCAAATTTGAAGAGGCAACCTAAACTATCTGCTAAATGGTACTCCGATTTTCTGCATAATAGGAGTATGAATCCGAAGATCACTACAGAACTTGAGAAGAGTGCACCTATGCTCTCTGCTGCCGCATAGTGCCACTTAGGACCAAATAAGGAGAGGCTTAAAACTCAGGAACCATTCATCCTTCTCAGTCTTGTAATTTTCTAATGTTATCATTCATGGTAGAATTACATGCTTCATCTTATTTTGAAGAATTTGCCGATTTCTGAATACAGCAATCTTATTTGGATGGTAGGACTCAAAATCTCAACTGCTTCATCCTTTTTTTTCTTTGGGCTTCATTTTTTTTAATTAATTTAAACGAAGTTCATGCACGGGCATGGAGCTTGCTGGTGCTAGTGCTTATAAGCCATCTAGATGTTGCCAGCAGAACAGAATAATGTAGAAATGCATATGAACGACAGATATTTTATGATGAAAACAGGGGACGGGGAGGGACAGTGCAAAACAGAGGCGTCTATTGAACACTGGAAATTATTCAAATTACCGGAGGAAGGGGGGGGGGAGGAAAAGGACTGTTCTGACTGAAAATTATTCATGAAACAAAAACCTATGACCCTAGAGACTCCCGGTAGCTAAATCAAATTGACGCAAACTCTTGGCTCCTCTGGAATATCTACCAATTCCTCTATCTCTTTCTTGTGATTGCTGCTCCGTCTGATGATCCAAGTTGAAGCATCTTTAGAGATTATGGGAGGGGCAGAAGTAAGAGCGGAATCCCAGATTGCATTTTCTGGGCGCATATATAACCACAAAAGAAGTACGAGAGAAGCCATGGCAAATACCATGAAGCTCACAGATCTTATGTCCCGCTTTAATAGTCATTGGCTCATGGCATAAGCTTCTCGTTATACAAGTAAACAATTAATTGTTTTGCTGAACAATTAGGAAAACGTCGCAACACGTTGATATTGTTGCCGGTTTCGTTGTTGTGATAAATGCATACATCGTGCGAGTCAAGGTGGTCAATTTAGTGGCTGTTTAAATTGGGTTTGCATTATACGAAAAGCATGAGAAGAATTTTAACTCATAAAACACGATAAAATTATAATCAATTCTCTTATTTCCCAAACACACTCTTAATTAATGTGACTGTCTTTATCAAACTAGGGTGTTGGTTAAGGAATCGATGAAAAAACAAGCACCATATTTTGTTGCCTTTTGCTGGTTCTATTATTTCTGCTTAAATGCATATCTGACGCTGCCAAAGGTAGTTGGAAAATTGGTAACTCATCTTTATCTCTCTCTTTTTTTTTTCCCCCCTTGACGTCGTTAACTCATCGTTATCAACACCTTAGACTTGAACTATCGCCATTCATAAGACGCACACTAACCTGCCACTGCTGGGCGCCCAATAAAGTATAAGGGAAGGCCATCAACAACGGAATCACTTCAGTTTTTTGATCAAGTTCGAATAAAACCACAACCGTATTAATACTGGTCATTTAATCAAACCCCGTTTCCTCAAGTAACTTGTCATAACTAAGTGGTTACTGGTTACTTGAACCCGTTATTTTACAGATAGCATAAAAGCACATATGACCAAGAGTATTGCTGCCAAAGGAATCTCGTCAGCAACATGGCTCACTGTGAATCATTTCCCCCGTCTTAGCCCGGGGGCCAGTCCATCCGTCGTCCCCCAAGAAGATGCACATGAATGTGGTAAACTGATTGGCCTGCCAAAAATAAAATTTCAACTCAGATTTGAAAATTGCTATTAAAAAGGAAGCTTGTGTACGTGGTTGTGTCTGCTGAGAGCAAAACGGATCAACTTGAACATATTGACATGGAGGACACTTACATCCCTCTGGCCCATCATTTATTACGATTCTAAAGCCATCATCAAGGCCTTCTTGCTTGGCAACCAGCTTCGCAGTGTATAGAAGCCGGCCAAGAATCTCACAGTGTCTCTCCTCAGCCTGGAGAAAAAGGCCATAACATTAAAGTCCAAAAACAAACGTTTCCAAGTTAAAATGCTGATGTTGGTGATGGTTTTTGCAAAACTAAATGCGACCCCAACATTTGTCACCTGACACTGACACCCCATGCCCACAAAGATTAGTGGAGATCTAGAAGCATGTACTCATATCATAAAAGCATGATCACAGGTAAGGTCAAAACCTTAATAGCGAAGATTTTCCAGAATGGTCCTAGAAAGCTTTCCTAATTAATAGATCCTATTTCGTCATATACTAGAAAAGCATGTGCGGATATGCATACCTTGGACAACCCAGTTAACCCATCTTTCACTTTTGGAATGATTAGAACGTGTACTGGCGCTTGAGGGTTAATATCCCTAAAGGCAAGGACCTGGAAAATAGAAAAGGAACACAATAGGATCATAAAGTTCTACAATACAAATGCATATTTCCACCCTTTAGTGTCACCCTCCTGGTGCATACAATGCGGTACTAGAGAGGAAACAATCTCCCACAATTGCATTCAAACTCTAAAAGACTGTTTGAGCGATTTAAATCTTGGCATGATCAGTCAGTCCAAAGAGTGAGGAAAATGTTAAAAAGAATAAACACGAGCTTTTCAAAACTTAAACATTTTAACTGGATTTTAAAACATGGCCATTTCTCTATAATTGTGTTTTTCAATGTAAATATAAGCATTTTCCCCGTTATGAAGCATGAACCCTCAAAAACCAAGATGTCCGATCAGGGCCATATCAAGTAAGGTCATTGTGTTCATGTCAGTTACACATGCTTTCCAGTGTCTATGTCATCTCTTTTAGGAAGCGACATTTGAAACATGATCAGATAACTCAAATTCCCTGACAGAAACAATAAGGTTAAAGAGCCGAGCACATTGAAATACTGCCCAGTCCCTCTCAAAAGAAATCAAGAAAAAGGGGGAAAAGCTACAAGTGAGATAAGTTGAAGACAAGATAGAACGTCAGGTTGTACCTTATCATCCTCGTAGACTACAGTAGAAGGAATTTCCTTATTGATGATCTTGTCAAATCTACGCATCACATGATACAGAAGTAAATATATCAAACTTCAACGCTAAGCATTCAGATTTTTCGAAAATAATAGTTTAAGGGTACAAATAACATATCCATCCTCACTGGGTAGCGTACATGAATTAAATCCCATCAATACCCAAAAGATAGTTTGAAATAAAAAAGACTACTTCAAGCATTTATACTTATAGCATGAACAGTAACAAGGCGCCCGTAAACATTCACCATCGCCTTATTCCAACATGTCATAAAACATTCTTTGTCAAGAAAGATTGTGGGTTTAAACATAGAATCCATTTGAGCACCCAATCTACCCACACAAAGAACAATCATTTTATGGCTTTGTACAAACGGTGATTCAGCCAGATGATAAGAAGATCATCCGAAAACAAAAATTCAGACAAGGAGACAGTCGAATAAATGAAGCAATGAAAACCAGAAATGCAAAAACAAATTGCGGAAGGGATTCTAAAAGTAAATTATAGAAACCATACATTGTAGGAGCATCGGAAGGAGTCGCTGCAAGAGCAGCTTCTTTCTCAGAAGCCATAGTTGCTGACTCGCCGTGACCTGCCAGGGCTGACGCCGATCGTATTTCTTAAAAATATTTATGGGCTTTTTGATGGCCTAAACTTTGGGGGCTTTTTGGCCCAATAGGGGGAGCATATAATTAAAAAAATTAAAAATTACCGGATTCCTATTTTTCTTAGAAAAAATTGACAAAAAATTCCTATTTGAAAATTTAATTATCTAAAAAGATTTAAATTTGAGTATGAATAAATATGGTCTGTGAGTGCAACATATCTTTCGTTGTATACGAATGACTTCTGTATTGATGATTATTGTACATAACTGATGATATGTTGTAGTCACGGATTATAGTTATATTTACTCAAATTCAAGTCTTTTTAGCCAATTAAACTTTCAAAAATAGATTTTTTTCCGATTTTTTCTTTTTTTAATCTCAAATAAGTGTACGTGATTAAAAATTTATAACAGTATAATAAATTTTCAAGCTTTATCTACCCAAAAGAATTTCAAGCTTTAAGAAATAATTATACAAGAAGTGAATAAATTTGCATGAGAATTCAATATACTTTTGTTTTGTACAATAAAATTTAATAGTAGGTCATAACCCTTCTATAATGCTTTTGTGCTAAATAATGTGGATAACGCATAATTCATATTGATATTTTATGAAAATTTTTAATCACTTCGCCGGATACTATCCACATTGTATTGTTTGAAGCTCTCTTCAAAACAATATTTTGATAGAAATCATTATCATAAATCATTAGTATTGGTATCTATAACATAAATGCTGTGTTCTCTAATTTTTCTTAAAGTAAATTATGTAAATTTTTAAATGATTTGACTCATTCCAAACTGGCTAAATTTACAAGTTTATGGCACAGGATCCAACAACACATCGCTAACTTCCCTTTTATTTGCAAACAGAAATTTTTGCATATCACTTTCAAGTAGTAGGGCATTATGCAGCAAGAGATTCCATAGTCGCATTCGTCTCAAGTTGCACAGTGAGCTTCTGATCCATGCTGTCGCATTTCACAGTTCCGTGCAGAAAGTTGGAGTACCATTGAGCGGAGAGCTTAGGTCGCCTTGTCAAATTGGGATCATTCACATCTATATAATATAGACCATAACTGGTTTCGTACCCAGTAAGTAACTCAAACATATCCAATAACGACCATGCAAAATAGCCTCTCACGTTTGATCCATTCCTTTCAATAATCCAAAGCATAAACAAGAGAAAGATTTGTTAAGCATCATTACGGAACAGAGATAAGTTGATTGGAAGTAACCAAATTGGAGAACTGTTTGTTACCTCAACGAACAAAGAACTTGTCCAATGTATGCTTGGAAGTACTTCACTCTTGACCAGTCATTTATTGAGGATTCTGGCGAGCAACTTCTCGCAGTTTGTTGACCTGCAAAATCCAAAGGACTTTATAATGCAGGAACCAAATCTTGTTTCGTGGCAAGTTCAAACCCAATCTTGTTGAGAGAAGACATAAAAGCAAACCATTTTCGTGGATGTAAACTGGGAGATTCCCATAAGTATTCTTCAACAAATCAAGCACTCTTATCAATGCCGAAGGGGTAATTGGAATCTATATCCGGACATCACAAATATTAATGGTCAATCAATAGACTGAAGCTCCATCCTTAAAACAAAAGTATTAGCTTCTTGTTTTAACTTTTACCTCAATGACGGATGGATCATCCACAATATCTGCCACAGCCAGGTAATGCATCATTAAGCACTCGTATCAGTCGTTTATATAGTCATATTTTAGTGACACAAACACACAGAAATGGTTTATAATACAACATACCAATATATTTGAATTCCATATCTTGCATAACGCCTCTGTCTTCCCCCTGAAAGCTCCTGGGATAGTCTTGGGCGTATAATGAATAGTAAAAATTTAATCCTATGAAGTCAATGGAGCCCTTAACTAGATCTGACTCAGTTTTTGTGAATGAAGGAAGTCTGGAGCCTATGTTCTTTCTCATTTCGTCAGGATAATCTCCAAACACTATGGGATTCAGAAACCTGCAACATTACAGCAGCGTTGGCGGCGCAACATAAATCACAATGGACAAATTATAGAGAGAAATTGTTAGCCAAATTTCTACTTACCAACCGAGAATCAACTTGTTTGCCCTTTCAGAGGCGCTTAAATCTTCTGAAGTGTTTGTTAGAGGGATAAAATCGAAAGCAAAGATATTGATTCCAACATGTCCACCCTGCTTCTCCTGCATTAGTTAACATTCAAAATGTCCTTCATATCACCAAACATACGCAAGAAAGTTTGTGAGGCCAATATTATATATAAGAGCTAGACATTAGGCACGTGTATTGCACGGAGTCTGAAATCAATCTTACTGGTTATAGCTTATAAAGTGTGACTTCAAATAGATTTTATTATATGCATTGATGATACCTGGTACTTTGTCCTGTACAAGGTAACAGCAGATGCATGTGCTAACAATAAGTTATGAGCAGCCAGGTATGGCTCAGATGAGGAATTGCCCTTAGAGCACTTGGTTACAGGGGAAGAAGAACATCTTTGAGGTGGTAGCAATCCCCAGTCGTAGCCTCCAATCACAAACACATTAGCTTCGTTCAGAGTGGTCCAATATTTAACTCTATCTCCAAACTCTCTGAAGCACACATCTGCAAATTCTTTAAAGTCTTCCCTGCAATATACCATATAATACAAGCACATGCTTTCATATCTATAAAGTATGTGAACCCATTTTGTTCAAGATGCCAGCTAGGAGAGAGCACAAGATGCCATACACCACTCTTCGACTAACCCATCCTCCATATTCATCCTCGAGAACTTGTGGTAGGTCACTGTGATGTAATGTAACATGTGGCTGAATACCTGCAATATGGTGTTGAAGATTAAGTATTAGAATGTATGAGTTGAGTTTTGGACTTTATATACCCAATGCAGTACTGTGGAATGAAGCCGGAGATTCATTGAGAATCGTGATTTATCGAGAATCACCATATCTTATGAGATCATTGATGAGGTTGTTGTAATACTCCAGTCCCTTGGGATTGACTGGTCCTCTTCCGTCTGAGAAAAATATGCAAGAGAACAAGACGGTCAGACTCAGAACAAGAAACTAAATACTCACATATGTAAGTTAAACAGTTTGGTGGAAGATTGTAACTTGGAATGAGTCTTGACCACGATATGGAAAATCTGTAGGCGTCTAACCCCATTTTGGCCATTATTTCCACATCTTCCTGTAACAAACCGAATCATCATTGCACATAACCAGCAAAATGCAAACTGCTCATAATTTCCTGACATATTTCACAGTTTCTGCAATTCAAATGGTGTTTCTAGGTCATTGTTACTAATTATAATTAGTCCTTGGCCGTTGGCTTGTGAAACATCAGGAATACATGCTTGACATTGAATAAGCCTCGTATATCGACGAACCTTGTATTTGTGGTATTGGTCGCATGCTCTGTCTGCGAGTTCGTTGGTCATGTTGCCTGAAATCTCAATCAGATGGGAAATCAATAGTCATAAATTAGCAAAAGTGACCCATATCAAGTAGTTGTCAATAAATTTATTGTCAATAAATATATCAACATATACAAATCTTGAAATATACATCAGTATATCAGAGCCCTCTTAGGTAGAGGAAACTGAATTACTGAGAGTACCATTGTGAGCAAAGGTATCAAATATGCTTGGCGTTCTCCCATCTTCATCAGCTGCACCTTCAACCTTTCAAGTTATCCAAATTCCCATTAAAGAAAGACACAGACCACAATCACACAAATAAATCTGAACTATGGCAATCAGATGTGATGTACAACTTGTCCAATGATTTAGTTTAGATTTGAAGTATTCATAGTGGGTGACAGTGACAATAAAGAAGTCTAGTGTACTAGAGAAACATCAAGAAGATGACTTGTTGAGAGAACCTGATAAGCAGAGGTTGCTGCACCGAAGAGAAAGTCAGGAGGGAAATCATCTCTGATAAATGTGTCACCAGAAGCAGCCTGCACTATCAATGGCAGTGCTGCAATTAACACCTTTAACAACAACATCCTCTTCTTCTTCTGCTTCTCTCTGTGTTGTTTTTAACTTCTCCAAATATCAACCTAAGTCTTTTTCTTCATGTGTTCATTAATGGATCACGGAATTTATAGCCACTAGGGAATGACAGAAACCAAGATATAATGCTAATGTGCAATCCATAGGGAGGAGCGGACAGTGCAGCATCTCAAGTATTTGCAATATTTAAATCCTTACCTGACATTTAATTAATTTGTTGGACTTAATCTATTTATTGCTGGAATAGTGTAATGAATAATGGGCACTACTTTGTTGTGATGCTACCGACTCCTCCGGAGGACATTTTTAATTCTGTGACATAAGGCGAGCTGATATGATCAGATCTTGAGCACAAGATACTTTACTTTATGGTCAATTACCAAAACTCAAAGAGTATGAATGGTTAGTCAGATTTTAAGCGGGATTACACAGTGAAAGCCAAAAGTATATATACTTTTCTAAAGGGTTAAGATACAAATTTGCCTCGAAATTTTTAATCAAAAGTATTGGATACCCGAAGCTTTTTTTGAAGCAATTTTGTTCTGAAAATTTAAAATTATAGCAATATTGTTCTTTATCATTAAGAAATTTTAATTGTCAACGTGTAACAGTCTAACATTAACTATTTCAATGGTTTGTCATATGTTGAATTTTGTGACGTAGGCACAATGCCGGATCAAGAAAGTAATGGGATTTGGTATACGCTCTCATGCAATGTAATACATGTGCACTTGCCTGTGCAAGGAAAAGGAAATTTGTTTTTAATTCTTTTCTTCCCATTATCAGTACTTATTGTATCGGTTCATGATCCTTTGTTTTTTGGCCAACGGTTCATGATCCAATTCATAGATATAGGTTTTATTTGCGTCACTCAGATTTTAATGATTCAAATTTATTATTAGAGGATACTAATAACTTGTCCTCATCCGTTCAAAGCAAAAACCTAACGTTTCATTGTGATATCTTCAAATAAAATAAAAATATGTCTAGTATTTTTAGTTTCTTTGAAAACACTTAAATACTAGTTTCTACCCCTAATATAAAAATTAGTTGGGGAGTTGAGTTTATTCATAAATGTTAAATCTCAACCTATTTTGTTTTTTATACTTATCATTTTTTTCCAAACTATTTCTATTAATTTCACATATTAAAAGAATTTATCTTAAGGAATAATTTCGAAGCATTTGTTTTCATGCCCAGAAGTCAGTTGAGCCCTTCGTACATTGTGAAACTTCATTCTTACAAACGAATGAAAATTATTCTACCCGGCCTGCGGGGGGGAGGATAGGGGCACACAAGCAAATTGCCTTTAAATGACATCATGCAGAGACGGCATCGATGCATTCTTCTCGAGTTCTATGGGAAGCTCTGGATCAATAGTCCTTCTATGCAGAAAATTTGAGAACCATCGAGCAGAGAGTTTTGGTTGCCTTCTCAAATTCTGATCATTCAGATCGACATAATATAGTCCAAAACTGATTTTATATCCACCCAGCAACTCGTACACATCCAACAAAGACCATACAAAATAACCTTTCACGTTCGATCCATTCCTTTGAGCACGTAAATTATCACGAAAAGAACAGGAAAAAGAAATTTTATCAGCATTTGTGAAAAAATGACCAGCTTTTGATGTTAAGAAGAGAAGAAGACAATGGAATAGGTCAAAACGAAGACATGATACCTCAAACCATCAAGCACAGCCTTAATGTGGCCATGTAAGTACTTCACCCTTGGCCGATCATCCAATGACGAGTTCCGTGGTGTTACTTGACCTGCAAAGTTATATTAAGACGTTGGTTTTGTTGAGAGAGTCAGAGACAAAGACAAAGATAGACAAAGACGTACCATTTTCATGGATGTAAAGGGGAAGGTTGCCGTAAGATTGCTCCAATAAGTCCACTACCTTTTGCAAATCCCTAGGCGTTGTAGCATTAAACATACCACCTGAAACCATGAACGGAGGAATGAAGTTTGTCATAACTCTTACCTCAGACACAACTGTAGCATTTTGCATTCGTTAAGCAATTTTCTGAGTTCCAAACTGATTTAATACTTCATTGATCAACAAGCTATATCATCATTTGCCACCATAGCCTATGTATTCGTCAAGATCAAGATCCTACTCATCATTGTGCCAAAAGCTCAAACTGTTATTAATAAGTATTCAACCTTTTTTTCCTTACAATTTCTCGAAGTCAGAATTGAGATGAGACGCTGCAGTCTGCACCCACTATAGGCGTCAGAAGCAGAGTTGCTAGGTCTACAATATCTATAGGCAATGCTGGTCTGATATTATAGAGAAACGAGGAAGATATGCCATCTGATAAAGGTGATATAAGAGGAAAGAAATCATTATCAGTTCATAACATACCTACTATTTCCACAGCAGCATCTGTGAAAGTGCTACTGCCCTCCACTTGGTGGCCTGGAGGGCTGTTCTTAATATAAGATGTGTAGTAATAATTTATTCCAAGGAAGTCAATTGAACCCTTCACTAGATCCAATTCAGTTTTGGTGAAGGAAGGAAGCCTGGTGCCCACATTCGTTTTCATTGTGTCAGGGTAGTCTCCAAACATTATGGGATTCAAAATCCTGCAACATCATAACTCATAGATGCTATAACATGATCACAGTAATTAAACATATCAGAAAGAATTCACTTGGCATATTGATGCTTACCAACCCATTAGCAAGTCCTTTGCCCTTTCAGTGGCATCTAAATCTTCAGTAGTATTTGTTAGAGGCAAAAGACCAAAAGTAAGGATATTGATCCCAATAAACCCATGCTGCTTCTCCTGCATTTAAGTCGATAATTCAAATCACTATAGGGCAATCTAGCAAGTGCCATTTATTCTCCAGATTGAAAGAGTGAAGGAAGCATCATGTAAGAATACCTGATACTTTTTCCTATACAATGAAGCAGCTGCCGCATGTGATAACAAAATATTATGAGCTGCAATGTACGGCTCAGTGGAAGAATTTCCCTTGGAGCAATTATTTACAGGGGACGGAGAACATCTTTGAGGAGGTAGGATTCCACCATCGTAGCCCCCAATCACAAATATATTTGGCTCATTCATCGTGGTCCAGTATTTAACTCTGTCTCCAAACTCTCTGAAGCACACATCTGCATACGCTTTGAAGTCTCTCCTGTATATATAATACACATACATGTTAATCACCGTAAACAAATAAATATTTTACAACTTTCTAGCTGGGAAGGTTACACAGGATGACATACACTACTCTACGATTGAGCCATCCTCCATACTCATCCTCAAGTGCTTGCGGCAGGTCACTATGATGTAATGTAACATGCGGCTGGATATCTGCATAATGATGAAAAAGCGGGTAATATTAGCATATATCCAACTTGTCTTAGGTGCTTAATATGTGGTTTTAACAATCAATCACCATGGCTGATGAGTTCATCGATAAGGTTGTTGTAATATTCCAGCCCCTTGGGATTGACTGGTCCTTTTCCACCTGAAAATATACAAGAACAAGGCGTACGGTTAAGCATAGAACATCAAGAGTAGTAGGGATGTAAAGTAATATTGGCTTGGACGATGGTAACCTGGAATAAGTCTTGACCACGATATGGAAAATCTGTATGCATTTAATCCCATTTTCGCCATCAGTTCCACATCTTCCTGCAATAAATCAATGTTTACATCTAGTAAGCCACACAAATAGTAATGCAGGATGCATAGGTTTCTTAATACATGTAAGAGGAAGGAAATGAGATGTGCGTGAGTTTGAAAGTAATTGTTAATCAATAAATAACACGCTTAGTAGTCATAGTCATCACAGGGTCTTGTTTTTCTCTAGTTATCATGCGTGTGATTTTCCATGAACAAAATGCCTCTTTAAATTTTACGGACGGACCTTATATTTGTGATATTGATCGCATGATTTGTTTCCATAGCCTCCAGACATGCCAACTGAAAATTTAATCGATAAGAGCAGTCAATAACAAATTTCAAACTTCAAATCAAACCAAATGATAGCAGACTAACGCATTATCGTCTTATTACATCAACTGTCAATGAATAAGCAGAAACTGATGGAATATTCAGTGATTTACATGAGAGAACCCTCTTTGCTCAGGTAAATGCGATAGAATCGCATGATAAGTTTGTTAAGTAGAACAATGATTAAGTCCATTGAAAATCATAATGTGATGGAGTGAAAGAATTTGGAAGTTTGTGAATACGGTGGAGGAGAAGGTACATGCAGTGCGGGCGTAGGTATCGAATATGCTGGGGGTCCTTCCATCTTCCTCTTCTGCACCTTCAACCTTTGAGGATATCAGAATTGAATGAAAATTTAAAAGAGACGGATAGACGTATACAGATAAAACGAAGAATTAGGTTCTTATGATGAACAAGAAGACCAGAGAAGAAGAACCTGAAAAGCTGAGGTTGCTCCGCCGAAGAGGAAGTCAGGTGGGAAATCATCTCTGCTATATGCATCAGCAGCAGATGCAGCCAGTAGCCATATCAATGCCGCAAATGACGCCTTCCACAACATTTTCTGATTTTTCTTCTTCTTCTTCTTCTGCAGATGATATCAGAACTCTCTCCTATATTATCGAACAGAAGAACTTTCCTGATATAGATAAGATTCGTCGAGGGTTCCAGTAATTGAGAGGCACAACGAAACATGTCGACACTATATTGGCCCCTGCTGATTCTGACGTCAATCAGACGACCAATTGATAAAGAAGGTCAGAAGAAAAATGCGACTTGTATTCTTTTAAGTACACGGCTGTCGGATTGGGTCCATTGTGAAATATTGCATCAGGTTACAAAATCTGAAAATGACCCCCCCCCCCGGGAACTTCACGATTCTGAATTTAAACCATTTGCCGCTGATCTCCAGCGGACTAGAACGACAGTCGCAGGAACAGTCAAGGGAGCCTGTCCCGCCAGATTTTCTATTTAGAATAATTAATTTATTATTATATATCCATATATATATTATTAGAACAATTTTTTAAAATAATCTGATAGTGAAAAAATGTAACAGAATAACATATCATGTATTCATGTATAAAGATGTAAGAATTTTCAAAAACATTCAAAGAGAAGCTATGCACACTAATATGTTAATTTTGAAAAAAAAAACTGTAAAGAATACCAATAAAATTTAATTTCTCAATATTATTTTAATATATGCAAGATGTGAACTTTGAAAAAAAAAAAAAAGTATATGGTTTTAGCACATCCTCTCGACATATGTACGTTTTCCACTTGAAAGAGCGTCACGCTAATCTATTTAAATTAGTTCAAAACAAACAGTTTTGCATTGTATGAAATAAATATGTAAAAAAATTTATTTTATAAAATAGAAATATAATTTTTTTTTATATCCAAATTTTACGCAGGGGTTCATGTTCTTTTTAGATGATACCAATATTGGACAGAACGAACCTATATTATACTTTCTGACGTTAACCCAGGCACCCCATTCTAAAATGCCTCCCCAAGTACTGTAACAGGGAACCGAACCCCCTTTTTTTTTAGGTGCGAGAGTGTAGTTCTTACTGCACGGATGAGGGGTAATACAAAGTTAGCATCATGAGCCCAATTTCCGGGAAATGGAATCTAGTCCATGGACCAAGTTTTGCTAACTCTTGGGCTTTGAGGCAGTCCCCTGTGACCATGGTCCAACATCCACTTCCGTCCCCATTTGATAAGAGGCCCAATAATCTGGTCCACTTGATAAGAGCCCAATCATCAGAACAGGAGATACTAAATGGCAATGACCGATCTTTGCCCAGTCTGATGTGGAATATTGATTCAATCATCATATTCTCTTGTGACCTCAAAAACATGGCTCAATTGGAACTAATATATATTAGGAGAATTACAGTGAAGTACTAAGAAAGAAAAACAATTGCAAAAAGAATTTCAGATGTTGTTATTTTCTATTCTGAAATTTATTATTACAAACTGCTTAGGTTGTTATTAAAAAATTTTAGTAATTTTTTATTTATTTCAGAACTCTCTGCAATTCTCCCTGTACACTACTCCTGAAGTCTTTAATAAAAGATCTAATTATTTGAGTATATTAGAGATGTTAATTAAATTAGTTAATATGATATTTTTTTAAACACTCTAATTATCTTTCTTAATTCCCTCTCTTTCTCCTACTTGATTATTGTTAAGAAAATGTCAATAAAGTTGATTTAAGAAAAACTGATAAACATATAAAATAGGTCTTATATATAAAACTAATAGCAAGTCTCAATTTCAGTCCTCAAGGCAATGTAATGCCGCGTAATAACACTTGATTTTTTTTACATATAATTTTACATGTTTTAATTATTTTATCCTAAATTATTTTAACCTAAAACGCGATTAATTTTGTTGAAAATTTAATGTATATAAAACAAAAATTTTATTCCAAATTTTTTTTTGTTATAAAAGAATGGACCCGTCACGCGAGAAATCAAATAGCAGGAGTTCGGATTGGTTGATTTCGTAGCATCATTCCTTTATTAAAATTATTATGTTACCATTATAGCATTGGTTTGCTTAATGATTGTTTTATTTTCTCGACCGGATAATAACTCATTTACGTATACATTTTTCCAAACGCGAGTTCATGAGTCTTGTCTGTCATGAGGAGGGACTAATCTCTGTTTGTGTTTCACCAAACCAACGAGACTGATTTTCCTTTTGAAAAATAAAGGATAATAATTGAACAATAAGGCATAAGCCGATAACTATTTGCTTTTATGGGATTTTGACAGTGACCTTTATATTTTATTATATTTTAATATTTTATATTAATGCCTTTCCGAAAAGGAGAAAGAAGAAAAAAAAAGGGATAATCACGCATCCACGCTTTAAAAAGGCGTCATTCACAGGGAGACCATAAGCAATAGTATATAATTACCAGTCTGCCGGGTTAATAATTCAAGACGTTAACATCGGAAATCATCAAATCCCGGGTCCCATAAGAACAACGGACCCCCGGGGGGGGGGGGAAGAGCATCGCCAGAACGGTCAATCTTTTCTACAAAACATTTTATTTTGTTAACAAAAATATGATACTTAATTAATATTCTGATTTCGGATAACTTAATTGGCCTATTAGAATGAAATCGTACCCGTACGATCTCTTAAAAGTATCTGAAAGAACCGAGACCCCATTCTTCCATCTCGGGAGATTATCATAATAGCTTGTCTTTAATTGTTTTTTTTTTCCTCCCCTTTTGGCCGGTACTTTCTTCAGGTTAAAAGTTCATGAGATAAGAAAATATTAAACATTAAATTTAAAAAGAGGTGAAGTAGACCCCATAAAAAAGGGGAAAAGGACCCCATAAATATTCTTCCTAGTTACGCTTTTTTTTTTTTTTTCAATCTTTCTAGTCACGTTACTATCTGCTTTATTTAAAAAAATCACTGTTCCATTTGACAGTTAAAAGTTTGGCCCAAAAAAAAAAGACAGTCAAAAGAAACTCTTTAGCTCCTGCTTTCTAAATTCACGTTTAACAATTGCTGCGCATTAATATCAATATATTACCTCCAGTACTATAAATAACATCTTATAATTAGGACTACGGGTAATAAAATATTAAAAAAAATTAATAAATTACCCCATTCATAACTAGCCATCAATATAGCTGATATATCAGAATCAACACGGGATCCACTCACAATGATCAGTGAGGGGAATAATCATTAATAGCCAACAAAGAAATTTTGGACATATAATGATAGCAACGTGGACCTGCGTAATGAATGAATTGGTATAATCAAGTGCTTCCCCTCTAAACTCCCTAAATAAAAAATAAACAAATTAGTTGCTTGCAATTATATATAAAGAATTTGTGACACTTTTTTAAATTTATATTAATGAACAAAGATAAAATATTTCACTGTGAAAAAAAATTAGTATGAGAAGAAAGAAAATAAGGCGGACCAAATCAAAATACTCATATACACCTTATATTTAGGATTACGGCATAAATGTGCGTCAACATGTGCGCTGTTCTGCAACTAGGTTTTGTGGAAGAAGGTTTCATTAGAATTTTAGAATGCGAATCCTCGTACCTGTCACCAGCCGCTTATGCTCCTCGTCTTCCACATCATCTGACAGCGGAGTGGCCTCCAACTCCCTCGAAAAAGCAACCTTTTTATAAAGGCAATGGATCAGACGGAGAGCCAATAAAAGAAAACGATGGAATAAACTATCATTTAAAATGGGTAACTTATCTGATGAGCAACGGCTATGAAAGTACCATGAGGGTGTTAAAAAATGGGACTTTTCGTTTGTGGAACACATTTAAAAAGATAGCATAAGCATGAAGCTCCTGACACTTGGTTTCTCAGAGGAACAGAAAGAGATTGAGTGATCGAGAATGTTAAGAGGATGTTTATCTCTTGTAGATTGATGAAAGAACACATGCACGTGGGTGTCCTCCTCGGTGGGATGCCCACGCGTATTCTTATGCATGCATTACATGTGCCATTCTATGACTTTGTCTGTTCATTCCCATTTCTCAGATCAGATTATACAGTTGGAAGTTTCCAAATTGGTCAGTGATTTCATCAGCTCATAGTCATCTAAGCTAAGCTATAAACTCTCTCAACGCTCACTTGCTTCGTGATTTATGATGAAGCCTACTCTGGTGGATTGGTTTGCCCGGATGATCTTCTTCTTCCTCTTTTAATGCAAGTGCTTTACTGACATATATAAGAGTTCCAAACATTCAGGTGTTCATTGTAAAACCAGTTGAGAGATTTCGCTTCTATGTCTGGTTCATCTTTTTGCTGTCTCTAGGCATACGATACTTAAAGATTTTCTAACTCAAATTTTCGTATGTCATTAAATGCGTATTGCATCTTTGTTCCTCTGTGTTCTTAGTCTTCAAACTAGGAATTTCGACTTGAAAATGACAAATAAGTTGAATGCTTAGTTTTTTTTCTCTATTTTTGGTAAGACTCATGAATTATCTGGTTATTATGCTGATTCATAAACCAACTCATGTTAACCCTTATACTTGCCTCTTACTCCAACCGAGATGTTGTATGTGTTTGGATCAAACTAAAATTAGTCTTTATCTTTCAAGTATAACTATTTTCATTTTTTGGAGGAGGAAAAAAAAAAGCCCTACGCGTCAATGGTTAGTTGAAGCTCATCTCTAAACACCATTTATCAAGACTTGCATACTCAAACACTGTGCGTATAATCACCACAAAATAAATTATGGCAAAAGAAAATTTGCAAAAAAAAATAAGCGATAGGAAAGAGAGGGAATGTAGGTTGCTCATTTATTTAATATATTTCTTTCTCGCCTGGGGGGTTTCGTGTCCCCACTCCTGAAGGGAAATGAAAAGGCCTCGTCTTTATCTGAGATTTGGACTGCGCCCTGAAATGCAGTAAAGTAGGTGGAAGGCCGAGACTGAAGTAGTTTCCAGTTTTTTGTTTTGTTTTGGTTTAAGCATGAACTCTTTATTCCCTCTTGACATTGCAACCAATGGTCTTCTGAAACAGTTTTGTTTGTGTAATTGTGCTGACTACTGTGCAAATCGATATTCTGGGTAAGTGGTGGTGATATAATAGACACGCATAAGTAGCAAGTGGCTTTTTTATCTCAGCCATCCGTGGTTGGTTTCTGACTTTATGGATCTTCTGCTCTGCAATACTTTTCTTTTTTTGAATGAAGTCTGCAACACTTTTCTTCACTGACCATATTCAATTTCCAATCTGATCTGGGTTATCTTTTTCTTCTGGGGTCTATTTTTTCCCCCATTCCACCCTGTATAGCATTCTTTTTTATTGGTGAAGCATTAAAACCAACGGAATCTGGTTGCATTTGGATTGATTAGACGACATATTCTGGTTTTTCGTTTTGGTTTCAGGTTCATCACCAAGTTATTTGCTTAGTCTCTGTCTAGAAACTGTAAGGTGGGCTTTCAGTTCTCTGTGTAATAGCACCTATTTCTCAAACGAAAGATATGTTATAGGGTTGTAGGGCGGTGGTGTGTCTCAGATGATGGGATCTCAAGGGGAAGCAACCCAAGAGCCAAAAACACAATCTTTGGCTTACCAAGGATCCTCCCTATACAATCTGACTCTTGATGAAGTCCAGAACCAGCTTGGAAGTTTAGGGAAGCAACTAGGAGGCATGAACCTTGAAGAACTGCTCAGGAGTGTGGGAACTGCAGAAACTACCGGTCAACTAACTTCTGGGTCGTCTCTGAATCGACAAAACAGCATGACAATATCTGGGGACGTTAGAAATAAAACTGTTGATGAAGTCTGGAGAGATATACAACACAAGAAGAGCAATAACCAAGAGGGGAAATCTCAGGAAAGACAGCCAACACTAGGCGAGATGACTCTCGAGGATTTTCTTGTGAAGGCAGGAGTGATTTTTGATTCAAATGTTGCTCCTGAAAACAATATTTCGCAACAAGCTCATTGGATTCAATACCAGCTCTCTTCGCTTCATCAAAATCAAAATCACCATGATGTGATGGCAGGTTTAATGACTGGCCATGGAGTTCAACAACAGCATTTGCCAGCAGTAGCGAACCCAGTTTTGGATTCATCCTACTCTGAAAATATGGTGGCAGCAATCTCACCATCGTCTTTGATGCGTAAGTTATCAGACACACACAGTCCCGGAAGGAAGAGGGAGGCCTCTGATGGTGATGTGGTTGAGAAAACCATCGAGAGAAGGAAAAAGAGGATGATCAAAAATAGGGAATCTGCAGCTCGGTCACGAGCAAGAAAGCAGGTTATATATATTTTTGTATGGTGTTAGTTCTTTGAGGTTTATATGTTTTATAAGTTGAATACTTAACTGGATCTATGTGAATGGACAGGCTTACACGCAGGAGCTGGAGATTAAAATTTCAAGTTTAGAAGAGGAGAATGAAAGGCTTAGAAGACAGTATGTGAGTTTCAAAACCTTGATAGTATTCATTTTACTTTTTCTTGTTTCGTATTCTATTCTTTCTTTCTTTGGGCATATACTAATATTCGTTGGTCAGATCTCTTTCCTGCCATCTTGGTAAGGCAAGGAACGGGTGGAATAGTTGTTGAAAACTAGGACTTGGTTTGGCCATTGCTTGTTCAAGGATATTTGCTGTGCTATGTTATATCCTGGATTAAGCAAGTTATGTATAGAAATGGTGAGAGTTCAAGGTCTTGCGCTATTAGATGCCAAAATTCTGGAATATTAGCTTATGCACAATAAAGATACAACCACACAGTTGAGTTGATAAAGTAATAGATGAGGATACACAACTTATAATAGTATACTTTCCAAGACTATATTTAGATATGCAAAAGGCTTAGGGATTAGCTTCAACTCCTGTCTACGGGAGAATGAAGTAAGTATGAACAAATCTGCAAGCATGGGACTTAACAGGTTTACCAACTAATAAGCATAATAACAACTTTTTCTAACCAAGAATCAGATATCAGGTTCATGGTCATCTTCCTTTTTCTGGTATTTGCTGAACAGTTACATTGTTGAAGCAAAAGATCAGAGAGCAGGAATAATTTGTTAGATAGCGGCATAAAAGATGATTCATCTAGAGTGATGGTGACTATTTTCTTACTGAATCTTCCATGCAGGAAATGGAGAGAGTGTTGCCGTACGTTCCACCAGCTGAGGGTAAGCGCCAACTTCGCAGAACAAGTTCAGCTTCTTTTTGACACCTTCCCTCAAGTCGACTTCTAGATGCTCATTGTTGCGATCACCTACTTCTCGTTTTCATGGATTCATAAAAATTTTCGGACAACTTGGAACACTCTTTCGCTTTGGATAAGTAAAGCTGATGATATTTTTCTTCCCTTTATTTTCTTTCTTCTTGGGGGAGGTGATATTTTAATTCAAAATGCTGTTGTTTGTGTTGGTGATGATCATCTGATGCAGAATTTCTTAAGTGCATGGACTTTTACTAGTCTTGGATCTCCTATTATCATTAATTCGATAATCTGATTTCGCTTCATTGGGTTTTGGACATACATTATGCAGAATGATTTTTGCTGACTACGTATAACTTGTTAAAGAGAGGTAATGAAAGCTGAAATTGGTTAACAAAATAAACGAATCAATTTCATAGTGGGAAGCACCTTTGTCAATCTATTTAAACAAAGTGAATTAAATGAGTGAAACTGTTTGGCAGCTCCAATTGTTAAAAGCTTAATTGATAGTGGATGTATTGTACGAATTTCAATACCGCCTCGCCTACTCTGGGATTCAAGTCAGACAATCGTAGTTATATATGATTGAGAATTATTGAACTCAGTGATTCGTATTTAATAAGCAAAGCAAGCTACAGTGATCCTGACTTATTATACTATATTGTACAAATAATGTAATATAAAATACGAAAAATTATGAGAAAAAAGAAAAAAGAGAGAGACAAATCACCTTCTGCCCCTCGTGGTCCAGGACCGGCATTATTACCATCCGTATGTATTCCCAAAAGAATCGAGATTTCTGTTACTTCACCTAGTCAATTGTCCATGGCAAATTGGTAATATGCTTCTACGGCCTACAGCTTTTACAAAGTTTTACTGTTGTAACAAACTCAAATTGTCGAAAAAGAATCAGGCATCATCTCAGGAATCTAGTGGAAATATAATCTGCAATTGCCATGCTTGACGTTAAACCAGGCGACTCAATCCCAAAAAGATTAACGAGACCAGGTACGCCATGAATTTCCTCCCCCTGCATAAATACACCAGGTGGTAGGAAAAAAAGGTGAATTAATTACACTGAGGAAAGAAATTTTCCCGCATAACAGACATGACCTCAATTTCATGCGTCCAGCTCTGTACAACTCTAGAGGTGTCTTTACTTTTTCGAAAACCAATAGAAATGTTCAATTTAATCACACTCAACATTTCACCTGCCCTATCATAAGAAAATTAAACAGACGGAGAACATGATTAGAATCATAACTGCAAGAATCATATCGGAAAATTTTCAGCAAGGATCTCAAACCAAAATATGGACCAATTCAATTGACAAATGCAATTTGCTAATTCATCAGGAGAAAAATGCAAGAGATAAGTAATTAATAGCTAGACCAAGAAGTACGGAGTAAAGAGAAATAGATAATTGCCTGTATCACAAAATCAATAGGTGGCTGATGGGGTCCTGAAAGTTTAGGTCGAATTCCTGAATACCCTGGTTCTAGAGATCCATCCTTCAGGTTTGGGTAGTACTTCCGTATCTCTGGATAAAACTTCTCCGCACGCTTTGCAGGTACTGAATAGTCAAACCTGGGAACAATATTTAATCAATTCAATTCCCTCATCCAAATCAAACACCTTTCTAAAACCATATTTAGAACTAAAGACATGAATTTCATTCAGTGCATCTGAGTCTCAAGTTTATCGTTAAAAAAACAACGGATTTAGTCAAAGACAGCAACGATTAATTATTAGCAGATTGAATCCAGGCTGTGATATGCAGATAATTTCATTTACAAGGTAGAAAAAAAATCATGCTTATACGCATATTCTGGGAAGCTATTAGTCTAATGTGAAAAGCTTCTGCTCCCATTTCCCCTCCCAATGCTGGGGAAAAAAATGAACACATATGTCCTGAATCATAGGATATTGGCAAAAGCAAGTTCTGGAATGATTAAAAATAAGAGAACCATTATCAAGAATCATTGAAGGGTAAAAGGAGTAACATAGAAACAGACACTGAGAGGTTTTCAAGATGTACTTATTGAGAAAGCTTGAGATATCATCAACGCCATCGATCCATTCAACATCTGGGCCAAACTTCACCTGACCACTCAAATCTAGAGTAACGTGCACACCTAGGCCACCATCCTCTGGTATAGGATATATCAAATGTTTGAAAGGAGGAGCTTTAGTATGGGACAATGTGAAGTAGCAACCACGAGCATAATAGGCAGTGGGTACAACTCCACTACTTTGCAGGGCAGTAAATCTCTTTGCAAGGGCAGGGGCACCAAGGCCTGCAGAGTTCACTATAAATGTAGGTATAAGCACTAGATTTGGCTCCAAAATTGACCTCCCATCCCATTCTTCAACACTCTTGGTTTCCGATATATGGAGACAAATCTGATCTCCTTCAAGATGCCCACCAATCACAGTTGAATTATAGGAGAAGGTTGCTTTGTTACTCTCAGCTTCCCCCTGGACCCACATTGGGGTTCACATACAATTATGACTTCAAATAAACAAGCTAATAAGTTAGCAAAAATTTAATACTAAAAATATGCGTGAATTCAGATTGGGAACACTGTAATTTGTAACAGAAGGCTTGCAATGCATACCACTAACGACAGCATGAAAGAGTGGGAATCAACAATCCCGGAAAGTGGTGATAGTATAGCTTTGACGCATTGCAATTCAGGTTCCATTCTCACCGCCTCAGAACCATCCATCATCCTCAAGCCATCAACTCCATTTTGAATCCCCCGATTCATTATATCATTCAGCTTTGAAATTTCTGAAGATCGAGAAGCAACTATGAGCTTACCAGTTTGTTTATGAGGAATATCATTCTTGGAGCAGTATTCATATAGCATTTCTCTCCCTCTCACACAAAACCTTGCCTGCGAAACAGTCTGAATTACATTCTAAATAGATAATAATTTTACCGTCACGCTTTGGTAGGTTACCAGTAAAACAAAAACAACCGAGTTCTATAGTATGACAGAAAACAATATATTTACTTGGTAATCACAACTAGATAGTTAATGCCTTTTATATATAATTTATTTCTGCTTTGATAAAAGTATGAATGGAATTTCGAACAGGAAGTCGATCGCATCGGCAAGGAGAATCTGTTGGCAGAACAGAAAGAGAAAGAGATAACCTTGAAGGAATTGCGAGGGTAATAGATTCCAGCATGAATGACTTCACTGTTGCGAGAACTAGTGGCAGTGCCAAAGGTGGAAGCCGATTCAACGACCAACACCTCTCTGCCTTTGAGCGCGAGTGCTCTGGCCACTGCTAAGCCCACAACACCAGCCCCAATCACTAAGCAATCCACTTTTTCCCTAGGGTTGCTGTCGCTGTATCTCCTGATCGAATTCGCAGCTAAACTCTTCCATTTCCTATGAATAACACTCGTTGATGATGCAAGGTTTGCTCCCAAGCTCTGAAGCGTATGCTTCAGCATCCTCACGGCTCCTCAATTTTTCATTTTCTTAAAACTCAGCACTTTTTTTAAATTTTTTGAAAAACATAATCATCTCGTCATCCCAATTGTAATTTTCAGCCCCCGGACCACTTTTTGGTAACTCCGGGCTCTGAGCCCTCGCCCTTGTCAACAATGGTCCAACATCCCCGTCCGTCCCCATTTGCTCTAATGATCTGGTCCCAATTGATTAGAACAGTAAATACTAAATAGGAGTACTAAATACTAGCAATGAGGCCAACGGATTGAATTTAGAAGGAGTGGGTGCTTCCTTACAACCTGTAAACTGATGTTAGAATTTTTAACACACTAATTGTTCGTATTTAATGTCTAACAGAATTTTAAATAAGATTGTTTTTAATAAAAAAACACTTGTGGCTAGAAAAAGAAAATACTAGCAATGAGTGGGTTTTCAACAACCTATTGTGGGATATTGATTCTCATGTGGCAGCTACGTCAGCGAAGCATGTGTGGAGTTATACATGTATGCGGTTTATGGAGTAAAAGCCTAGTTTTAATGTAATGCAGAAAATAAACTTGACTGTCGGCCAAAAAAAACCTTGAAAAAGTTTTAGCTGTTATAGTAATTACTTACAAAAGTGAAGAGGGTATTTTGTCAATAAAATAATTTAGGTTTTAATAACGAAAAAATTATTATTTTCTATTTTTATTTTTTGTAATGAGTAGTTTTTTATGAATTGTAATAAATGTATTAAGTTAAATCACTCGTGCTTTATGTATGTTAATATTCATATTGTGAACATAATTGTTAGCATCCAATGATGATACCCAAGTCCTGTGATGCAAAGTAATTTTTCTTAGAAAAATAAGTAAAATACAGATTAAATATCGCTTATACTCAATAAGTATTAACAACATATATGTTGACTAGCTTTAACACTAAGGTTGCTATTTTGTCAAAAAGGATGTTTTTCCTAAAGTATTGCTTTCAATAACAACCAAATCAATGGGCAAAAATTCTGCATGAGCACGCAAAAAGAAAGGGCTTTAAGGGAATATCATATGTATTTCCGACCAATATTTTTGTTGCAATAGAGAATAAGAGAAAGAATGATCAACTTTTTCAATTACACAGACATTTACAACACCCAATCAATCAGAAAGAAAATATTCTACAAGTCAAAGAAAAATGGCTTGAAAATTAAAAGATCAAATTGTCCTCCACCGCACTAAGAAGGATCGTTAGGTGCGAATCAGCACTCCTCTTGGATTCATCAACCACAAGCAAATAACAAAAAAAGCGAATGATAGAAAATTAGATCAGTCTTCATATATAAGCCAGATGAACTATTTGATTGATGGTTAAAAAAAAAAAAAAAAAAAACAACAACAGCAAGTATTATCTCATTAGGCGGGATCGTTATATGAATCACACGACACCATTATATTCTGTCAACAACTTAAACTTTAGATATATTGTTTACTAGGAGGTCTCATTCAATGACCTTATTAAACAATCTTCTCAATAATTAGAAAATAATATTTATTAAAAAAATTAAATAATTAAATAATTGTTTAATATTTGATTATTGGTTAAAATGAGAGAGTAATTTATTTTATTGATGAATGTGCAGAGTATAGATACTCTTCAACTTTTCCAAGTTTTTTTTAACTTTTTGGTTTGGAGTAAATCATTCAGGAGACATATATTCTTGAGTTCAGAACTTTTCTGCGTCCACGTGGTTCGGTATTGAACATAACCATACCTTGCACATAATCATCAACGTAGGATTGGATCTCTTGCCCGAGAACTTGGCCTACCTGTCCACATCAAGTCTCATTAGGATCCATATGAGAGCAATGGGCAATTCAGAGAAAGATATACATTCATATAATTGACGAATGACTCTGTTCATAGAGCACTGGTGTAGAAATTGGTTCATAACTAACATAACCCCCGCTAACTACTGACTGCCTTAACATGCTCCCTCAATCTGAATCTCTTTGCTACACATGTTCATCATTTTCTATTACACCCCTACTCAATCAGAGACTTCTCTTCAGAATCCTTAGCTTTTATCTGAAAGATAAGAACGTTGCATTAGTAATTGGCTTTGTGAACACATCTGCAACTAACTCGAGAAATGTGCCAAACCTCAATATGTTTACCGGTCACCTTTTTCTCATATAGATCAATATCAATATGTTCAGTGCGTGATTGAAGCATCAGATTCACAAACAATGCTATTGGACTGGAACTGTTAGGATATGACAGCCAAAAAAAGTGAGACAAAGATATCCGTCCTGTTGAATGATTATGTATGTAGAGTACAAGGGCATATGTATGTAGGATACATTGACTTCATAACTAACATAACTAACGCTAACTACTGACTACCTTAATTGTCAAATCATGCACGCTTCTGTTGAATCTGCAGTTTCAAAATGGAAAATGATACGACAGAAAAGAAAGGTTCAATACTCAGCTACACACCACAAAAACAATAGGCTCCTCAGGAGAAGGAGGTGCATTTTTAAGGTAGTCCTTGATTGGAGTTGCACCTACGGATTCATTTCCATCCAAGCAGCCTGAAATTCATATGGTCAACTATAGCAGTTAGTTAGTTAGTTAAGAACTAAATCTGGTGAAAATGTCAAGATCATCATACTTACCTACTATCCTTGAGGTTGCATGAAGTTGAGCCAATAAACTTGACGGGTCAGTAGTGATTTTATGACGGAGGACTATGTTGGTCTTACGACACATTATCAATTCATTTTGGAATAACTCATCTACAAGGATTCAACAGTGTATAATTAACATTTACGCAACATAATAAATAAAGTATCATCATGAACTCACAGTAGTGTCAAATAGCGGGCTATCATCATTGCCTCCAAACGTTAAGTATATTAAATATAGTGACGATTGAGAAAACAAAAATTAATCACCTAACATAGCCGTAAATTCTTCCTGGTCACCTACAAGCGTAAGCAACGTCTTGGGGTTGAACTTATAATAACCCTTGGGCCCAAAATTGATATAGATCGCCCGTATATATGCAACAGAGTTGAGTAGGGTTGTTAACAATATTTGCAGTGGCTGAAAAAGTAACACGCATGAATAAATTGGAAGAACACAAGCTTAATAAGGAAATAAAGCTTCATTAAGCCTTGCAATATAAATAAGAAAAAATTTTAATGATTAAAGATCGTCAAATTTTGAGTAGAGATAAAATATGGGTTTGAAATCACTAACCAACTTGTAAGTCGCAGCAAGATTTCCAACATCATTCGGGTCGGGCTGATACTGCATGAACACAATACAAAGATAAATATTGACTTCATTATGATAAGTAGGTTATAACGATATCAATACAAGATAATGTTCATCCATTATTCTTTCGATTTTCGTTTCCATTTTATTGCATTGGAACAGAGTGCATGCGCAAAACTGCATAATCTCTTCTTTGGACGTAGCGAATAGCGATGCTATTTAGCAATTATTGATTACCTGACAAGAAATTTAGCGAATACCATTCTTAAATGTATGACACTAAAATCACAATTTTTACCTCGTCGTCAATTTTAGGTACGCTAAGTGGAAGATCGTTGATAAAGAAAGTGATGATCCCTGATTCTTGAAACGACGGCGGCAACTGTTGCTCGTCGTTGTTCGGAGGGGAACCCACTTCTTCCATTAGCTTGCCTTCGTTACAACTTTGCTACTCTTCTTGGGGGAGAAACGTTATATTTGAATTCCCTCGCTGCGCACTTCTTTTGTAGCGCGGGAATTCTTCTTCTTGTTTTTTTTTTTTTTTTTGCCAAATATAGCGTGGGAGGGAATTCAAGAAAGTAGAATAGTAATTATTTCGGTGGCAAATTTAATTTTCGATTAATTTTTAATGATAATCGTCATCACACACACACATGTATATATTATGAAAACAGGTCGCATTAAAACAATAGAACTCATTTCTTTAGTTTTTCTTCAAACGACATTTCTTTTCTTTTTTAATCTCCATGCAATGTCGAAAAAGCAACACTCATCGTCATCATCATTCGGCCCTCATTTTAAGATGTCTAAACTTCTAAAAGAGATTAAAAATTGAAAATAAAAGAAAAATAGGGAATTAAAAAGTGTTAATATTAATATTTAATAGATAAATATCAGTATATAGTATTGTGAAATTTATTTAAAAAAACTATTGCTTACATTGGACTGTACGTCTAATTGATATTAATATTAACATGAAAAATAAAATTTATAGCAAACGACGACACATCTTACAAATGCTAAATCTGAGTTTTTTTTTTTTTCCTTTCATATTATAATGGATGAAGATGCCTTGAATGAGAAATATTGGGCTCAGGTTTTAAAAAATTCGATAACAAAAGCAGATGCTGATGAAATTGCAGAACTTGAAAAGGATCTCTCCTATCGCTGCAGAAATATGTTGTAATGCTTTGACTGAGAAAATCTGACGTCTCAGGGAGGAGTTTGAAGAATGATCATATGCTGATAATGATAGAATTCGGCCACTATTTTGTTACGATACCCTCCGTCCTAATTATAAGACCCAATTGATTATTTGAGGAGATTAAGGAAGTAAATTAAATTGGTTATTTATAATAAATAAGTGTTGTTTTCCTAAAATATCCTTACTAATAAGTATCTTGGCTAAAACTATCATTATTAGAAGGATTATCTTGGAAAAAAATGCATAAATATAAGAGAGAAAATGGATTGGGTCTTATAATTAGGACCAAATAAAAAGTCAAATTGGGTCTTATAATAAGGACCGGAGGAGTATTAAAGGCTACACTAGTATAATACACAGGGAGTATTATAATATCTGCATATATCATTTAATAATCCTAAGATGTATTACGAAATCATTTTCTCTCAGATAGCTAATCATTTTTAACCTTTACATTTTGGACCAGCGGAGGAAGAATTTATTTTTTCTAAACATGTAACCAGGACAGGTGTGGGACTCAAATATCTTCGCAGCTTTTAAGATTCCTCTCTATAGTTTTTACCCTCAAATATAAGATGATTGCAAATAATAATATATTGACGCTAGTGATAATCATCTATAGCCGGCAGATAATCCCAAGTGAATGTAATTACTTAGGCAAAA